AGCGACAGAGGGGTAGAAAGGCAGAGAGAGACAGAGGAGGAGGGAGTCAGAAAAGAGATAGAAGGAGGAGGAATGGGCAAGAGAGAAAGGGATGGGGGACAGAGACAGGGAGGGAGAGAGAAAGAGGGACAGAGAGGCAGAGGGAGTGAGAGTGACAGAGAAGAGACAGATAGAAGGGGCACGAGCGAGAGGGATAGAGAGAAGGAGGGGGGGAGAGACAGAGGGAGAGAAAAGGAGAGGGGGGGAGAAGAGAAGAGATAGAAGGAGGAAGGTGCACAGAGAGGGATAGAGAGACAGAGGGAGAGAGAGGGAAAAAGGAAGGGAGGGAGAGAGATAGAGAGAGAGAAAGAGGGAGGGGAGAGAGACAGAAGGATAGAGAGGCAAACGGGGAGAGAGGGACAACAGGAAAGAGGAGAGAGAGAGACAGGGAGGAAGAGGGGGAGGGTGATGGAGGGAAAGTAAGAAAGGGAGAGAGTCATAGAAGAGATAAACGAAGGAAGGAGGGGCAGAGAGAGAGAGGGGGGATAGAGAGAAAGAGGGAGGGATAGAAAGAGAGTGAGAGAGAGGAGGAAAGGAGGGAGGGAGGGAGAAAGCGAGAGAGAAAGAGGGAAGGAGAGAGGGAGAAAAGGAGGGTGGAAGAACAAGGGAAAGCGAGAGAGGGAGGGAGTGACAGAGAGGCAGTGGGAGACAGAGAAGGAGAGGGAGGGTGATGGAGGGAAAGTAAGAGAGGGAGAGAGACAGAGAAGAGATAGACAGAGAGAGGGGGATAGAGAGAGAGAAAGAGGGACAGAGCGGCAGAGGGAGATGGGCAGAGAGAGAGGGAGAAAAGGAGGGAGAGAGAGGGAGACAGAAAAGGAGATGATGTGTGGTGATGGGGTGATAGAGGAAAAGTGAGAGAGGGAGAGTCAGAGAAGAGATAAAAGAAGGAAGGAGTGTAGAGACAGAGAAAAAGGGAAGGGAGAGAGGGAGACAGAAGGATAGAGTGGGAGAGGGAGGGAGAGCGGGATGGAAGTAGAGAGAAGAAGAGAAGAGACAGAAGGAGGAAGGGACACAGAGAGAGAGAGAGCGGTATAGGGAGAGAAGGAGGAAGGGAGAGAGAAATTGACAGAGAGACAGAGGGAAAGAGAGGGAGAAAAGAAGGGAGAATGAGGCAGCGATAGATGGAGAAATGGAGGGAGAGGGAGAGTGGTAGAGAAGGAGGAAGGGAAGGATGTAGAGAGAAGAAAGAAGAGATAGCAGAGAGAGAGAGGGATAGAGAGACAGAGAGAGAGAGAGAGAGAAGGAAGGAAGGAGAGAAAGAAAAGAGAGACAGAGAGGTAGAAAGGCAGAGGGAGACAAGAAGGAGAGTGGATAGAGGAGGAAGGAAGGAGGAAGAGGGATAGAGAGAGAGAGAAAAGAGGGAGGGGAGAGAGGGAGAGAGCGAGACAGAGGGAGATTGGGCAGGAGGGAGGGAGGTAGAGAGAAGAAGAGAAGAGACAGAAGAAGGAAGGGGCACAGAGAGGGAGTGAGAGACAGAGGGAAAGAGGGGGAAAAAGGAGGGAGGCAGAGAGAGAGGAAGGGAGAGGCATAGAGAAAGAGAGGCAGGGTGATGGAAGGAAAGTGAGAAAGGGAGAGAGTCAGAGAAGAGATAGAAGAAGGAAGGGACACAGGGAGAGAGAGGGGGATAGAGAGAGAGAAAGAGAAAGAGGGAGAAAGCGAGACAGAGGGATAGAGGTAGCGAGGAAGAAGAGAAGAGATAGAAGGAGGACCACAGAGATAGAGAGAAAAGAGGAGGGGGGATAGAGAGAGGAGAGAAAAGGTAAGTGAGGAATATCTTTGTTTTGTCTGTTTCGGTGACTGCAGATGGAAATGAGCTACAGTCTTATAGAAAGCAACTTTTTGATGTTTTTTTTTTTGTTTTGTTTTGTTTTTTAATCCATGCTCCTGTACATGTTCCCAGTCAAATAAACTAAACAAACTAAAACTAAACTTGGGATCACTGCAAACTGCAAAATGAACTACTTTTGTTTTTCACATTTTTAAAGCGAAGAAAACTGTGAGACTGTGAGAGAAGTTCAAAAGGAAAATAAAACCGCTCATTCAAATTTAGCAGCGAGCCTCACAAACAGTCGTAAAGGCAACAAGGTCACAGTCTGTTTTCCTCGCAATTGATGTGATTTGAGAAACTCGAGAGAATCCATTTTGCCCGGCTCTGGCTGATACTTTTGATCTCGAGTCCGCTGATGGATCGGACCAATCGCGGGGCACAGGGCAGTTCATTTGACTGTTTTATGTTGTGAAAAACATGCAGAGGGGAACGCTTTGTGCATTTGTGGGTGGGAAAGACGTGCTTTTCTCAGGATTCAGTGAATGTTTGGCTCATCAGTTTACTTCTTCGTTAAAAAGCCCACATCACACTGTTTTCTCATGTGTTATAATGTTGTTTCCTCGTCACAAACAGACTTGGAGTTGTGTTTTGTTTCATTCACACATGTTTAACACACAAACCCTGCATATTTAGGCTCTTTTTAAACTCCATAAATCTTATCATTTGGATAATTTCAGCCCTGGAGTTGTCAATCTCTACTGAACTAAAGGTAAAAGGAGCTGTTAACTTGAAAACTACCTTTACATGACATCTCAAGGTGGAATGAGAATTTTGAGCTTTGGAGATGTACAGACTAATAATGCAGGATTACTCAAACGTGAATGAAACAAAACACAACTCCAGGTTAGTTTTTGAGGAGGCAACAATATTATAACATGGCTTAAAGCTCACAAGAGTCAATTTTGCATAACATGGGACCTCCATCCATGCATTTTCTTCTGCTTATCCAGGGCCGGGTCGCGGGGGCAGCAGTCTGAGCAGGGACTCCCAGACTTCCTTCACCGTGGACACTTCCTCCAGCTCCTCCAGGAAGAATTCAAAGCGTTCCCAAGCCAACCCAGAGACAGGTCCTCCAGCGTGTCCTGGGTCTTCCTCGGGGCCTCCTTCTGGTGGGACATGCCCGGAACACGTCCAGACGGAGGCGCCCAAGAGGCATCCAGAACAGATGCACGGCCCACCTCAGCTGCTCCTCTCAACCTGTGTATTACCTGTAAATATTTAAAGACTGTTTAAGATGACAACAAGCCACTTCAATTTAAAAGGAACCTACATGTTTAAAAAACCCAGATTTAGAACCAAGGTTATGGAGCGAAGCGTCGCTGTGAAAGGAGTTAACTTATGGAAAAGTCTTGACAAAGATGTAAAAGAATCAAGTACAATAACAGCATTTAAAAAATACTTAAAATCAAATGCAATGTGTATGTATGAAAAAGAAAAGTAAGTTGCTGTGCATAAAAGTGAAGATTTCTGTTTACAATTGATTAATAATTGTGCCTGAACTGATTTGAAATGTTTAGTAACCATCGGCGTAGATGTTTTGTCTTGAAAATGCTCCTTTTCATTCATTTCTTGTATGTTTGATGTTGTGACACTGTTGATGTCTTTTTATACTTTATGAATGAAATAAATAAACGTGAAGGAGCAGCGACTCTACTCCGAGCTTCTCCGTTGTGACTGAGCTCCTCACCCTATCTCTAAGGGAGCACCCAGCCACCCTGCGGAGGAAACTCATTTCGACCACTTATATCTGTGATCTCATCCTTTCGGTTATTACCCAGAGCTCATGACCATAGGTGAAGGGAGGAATGAAGACTGACTGGCGTCTTTTGGCGTCATTTGACTCAGCTCCCGCTTCATCACAACGGTCCAATATAGGGACCGCATCACTGCTGACACTGCACTGATCCAAACATGGGACCAAAAACTTGAATTTTGTCTTCGTAAATACATTAACTAAACATTAAGCCAAAACATGTTAACAAGGTAAATACACCTCCTACTGCAGGGGTCATCAAACTAAGACCCATGGGCTAACCATGTCCACCATGTCCCTTTGACCCGCCCCCCACCACATGAACTGGCCCCACAGCCCAGTGCACCTTTAAAAAAAGAAATGGGGGCCAATGGAGGCAACTGTCAGCGCCTCGCCTGTGGATAGCTGCAGCTCACACTAGGTTTTCATTTGTTCCAAAATAACTTTACAACGCTGCCGAATCCCACGTATCACGTGTAGTAAGAAAATAAAATAGGAGAAGTACAGAGCAGTGGGCGTGTAGCGGTGGCGGTGAAAATGGGGTGATCGACAAAATGATGTTTAAAGATTACTCAAACATGCACAAATCACTTCAAATACAACTTCAGGTGAGTAAAACAGTGAGAGGAAACAACTATGACATGGTTAAAAGCTCTGAAAAGTCGATTTTGCATCATAGGTCTGCTTAAATTTGTAAATGTGCACCACAAACCTTGAATAAACACAGGCCCAAACCCTTTTTATTGATTGAATAGCAAAGAACTCTTGCAACAAATGCTTTCTTTCACTCACATACCTCATATTCCCACAATCCAAAATTCTCTGGTAAATTGTAATCCACAGACTAAACAATAGCGTTCTGCCTAAGTGGAGGATTTTGCAAGTGACATGCTACAGCTGTCACTCCAATCACGGCCAATTTTTATGCAAAGGCTTGGACACGAACCATTCCCTTCCCTCTGCTGACCCCTGCTGGTTTGTAGTATTTATATGAGTACGAGATGTGGCGCTTTTTTTTTTCTTCTTCTTTTCTTTCTTTCTTTTTTTTTTTTTTTTTTTTTTTTTTAATTCATTCTAGAAAAAAATACACCTTGGCTACGTAATTACAAAAAAATAAATAAATTAAAAAAATAAATAAAATAAAAAGTTCCGTTAAATATACAGTTTATATAGGGCATATGCTGTGAGTTTTTTTTTTCTTTTCTTTTTTCAACAGTAAATCACGGTTGCCTATTTTAATGCACTTTTAATTCTGCTATCAAGAAATAAACAACTAAAATAAAAAAGTATATTGAAATTAATTAAATACATTTAATTCTTTCACCTCGGAACCTTTTTCACCATTGTAAGTTTCTCTCCGGATGACAGCTGCGTCGGACCGCTGTGTTTACATGGAGCAAACAACGTGGGTCGCTGTCAGAGGAGTTTAATTCATGAATAAACGGCTTAAAAATTATTGAAACGTATTGATCTACTGACGACAAAATGAGTAAAAAGCGACAAAGTGTGGACGCGGCGGAGGAAGGCGTCCCAGCGAAAAAAGACAAGTTTTCAGAGTTTAATGGAACTGTATTTAAAACCATGCTGAAAGATCCAACGCAAGCCATGAAAGGTTGGTGCTGAATTTAATATTTTTGTCTGTAAAAATGGTCGCATATTATTTTTTGCTTGATTTCTGGTTCATTCTAGGATTGGAGAAGTTCATATCAACAGCAAAGAAACTGCCATGCCCAGATCTGTACGATGTGGTTGAAGGATATGTTAAAATTTCCATGGAGTGTGCAGAGATTTTCAAATTGTTGGAAGGAGAAACACAAGTTGAAAGTGAGGTACGTAAAATCGTCTAATATTGTGCAAAATTGACTCGTGTGAGGTTTAAGACATGTTATAAATCTGTTACTTCATCAAAAACATACCTGGAGTTTTGTGTTTTGTTTCATTCACACTTGTTTTAGTCACCTTTTATAATTAGTTTTTCTACATCTTCAAAGCTCAGATGCTCTTTTCCAAATTGTAATGTCGTGAAGATGTTAACAGCTTCCTTTTCAAAAATAGAAAATGCACAACAGAGTTCTTACAGAGGTACAAATGCAAGGAACAGCAATCCAAAAGTGAAAAAATGCATAGCACAGTCAGATGGTCGATGTCCAAAAGCTTTTTTTATTTTTGCCAAAAAGCCTTCGTCAGATAATTTTTCTTTTTTTTTTCTTTTTTTTTTTTTACTTATTTAATAGGGACAGTGCGTATTAATGAACATCTACAACACTGCAGTGTAAATATGCCAGATTATAGCAAGACTGCTCATTTCCATCTGTAGTTCCTCAGCAGGCAACACCACAAATTTAACAGTGACAGTTCTAATCTAAAAGTGTCCACAAGTCTGGTTTTCCTTTAGCCACTGTTTCAAGTGGGAATTGAAAGTGGCAAGTGTTGGAGTCTCTCTTACTGATAGTGGGAGACTGTTCCAAAATTTAGTGCCTTCTTACTTTGGACCACATCTTTTTGCTGAAACGTTCAATTTATCCAAATATGTTGACCATTAGTCAAGTTCTTTCTGACAAAAAGCCCAAAATAAATATGCAAATTATCTGTATATAATGGGGATGTAACAATAACCGAAATATTGTGATATTATATCGTCAAAGTTCTCACAATAATACCATGGACCATCACAATATATCGAATTACAAGTCTCTTCGCTTAAATTAAGTGTTATGGTGCAGCAATAGAGAAAAAAAGAAAGAGGGAACTACATAGACCATGATCCTTTTCCATTTCAGTGCAGACTACAAGAAGAAATAACAGTTCTAAGCACTTTTAAGTCTTAGTTCTTTGGATTAGGTCTTGTCAAGGCATTTTAAGAGAAAAAAGTAACATATTAACAGTTTTCTTCACAGCTTCCACAAAATAGCGTAATAAATATCGTACCGTGAGATGTATATCCTGAAAATATCGTACAGAGAGATTTCGATATTGTTACATCCCTAATCGTGAGCTTTCCCACGATATCGCAGTAAATATCGTGAGGTTCATACCGTGACGATATCGTATCGTGAGGCTTGGATGTCGTTACACCCCCTAGTATATAAATATATGCATTTGTGTGCACAGAGAAGAGTTTGAAATTTGTGCCAGTTTTTGCTTCACGTGGATAGACCCGGCAATTACAGAGACACATGATTCTTGCTTTTTGATTTTACAAGTTAAAAAGCAAATTTTAGCATATAAATCTGACCTGTCCATAAGCTCAGTTTCAATGTTTGTTAAGCTTTTGTTCTTTTCTCTTTATTAATATTAATTTATGCATGTCTTTATTGGTTTATTTTTTCTTTTACTTTAGTTGATATTGATTTTTGAGAGTCTGGAGATGATTCTTCTGAGAACTGCCAGCGACCTCACTCACTTCAACACGGTGGGAAATGCCATCGTGAAGAAAACCGTTTCCAGCCACATGAAGATCCTCCTGGGTTCTCTGCACTCCGCTAATCACAGGTTTTTGAGCCTAAAACCTCTCAAAGTATTTAAATAAGTTGGCCGTTTGTGCGTTTGTTGTTTATTTCCCGTCTTCCTCTCCGTGGTAGATTTGTGCGCCAGTGTTTGCATTTCCTGTCTGCGTTGGTGGCTCAGGGCCCAGAAGCTGCCAGAGAAGTTTTAAGTCACATTCATGCTTACAAGACGATGTCCGGTCTGGCAAAAAGGAGAGATAAGCAGGTTAGGGTTGAATTGGTAATATATTGGTTGTCTTTTTTGTAACGGCCCCTTTCTTATTGAAATGTTACATCCTCCTTTTAGGGGAAACCAGATGTCCGCATGGCCTTTATCCAATTTGTGTTGTCATTTTTGATCTCTGGAGACAATGCCACAGTGGGACAGATACTTGAAGTAAAAGGTAAATAAATGTCATCTCTGCTGAAGCTAAATGCACTTGATTTTCCCTCTTTTTTTTTTTTTTCAAAGATGTGTAGTTTGGGAATCACAGAGTCTCTCACAATTCGATATGATAATAATAATAATATGGCAGATGCTACTACCTGTATATTCTTAATATACTGCTTTTTTAAAGAACCAAATACATTTTAGCAGCAATACTTCTTTGTTAAACCATCACTTGTGCAAAGTTAATTTGAAATGCATCTATTTTAATCATTAAAACAGTGTACTGTATTTTTCGGACTATAAGGAGCACCAGATTATTAGGTGCAATATCAATAATGTTGAATTCTCTCATCTATTTTCATAAATAAGGTGCACTGAATTATAAGGTGCATTAAGCAAAACAAACAGACGACACTTGAGACTAATCCCTTAGCCCAGGCATCCACGATCCATTGGCAGATCGTGGTGTAATTCGCCCGGCGTTGCCTCCCTGTCTTGGTGAATATGTATTATGAATGTGAATGTGGGTGGATAATTTAAGTTTGTTTTTTATTTCCTACGAGGACGACTCAAATATACACTGTGTAATAATGTGTTTAATGCAGCTTTGCGCACATTTGTTTACATTTTACAGAAACAAAACTTAAAACCACATGGATAATTTGCATAAACTATAAGCGATGCTTATGTGTGCTGTTGCTGTCAGCTTCCGTCGGACTAAAACTCTCTGGAATATGAGTGTTCTTTATATGACAAGGCGACAGTGGCAGTGTACGTTGAGTCGACACAGAACTATACTTCACTTTTTCTGCGTGAGGTTTCTGACTACGGTAGCCATAATTCTCTGACAGTTCATAAAACGGCGTGGCTTCGTAGCTTACCAAAGTCATACATTTTGACAGATTTTTGAGCACCATGTACCACATAAAATTGGTCCGAGGTCAATAAGCACAACTAAAATTAATACATAAGGCACACTGTCAATTTTTGAGAAAATGCAAAAGGATTTTAAGTGCACCTTATAGTCCAAAAATTACTGTATATATCAAGTGTGTTGCTTAAACAAGTTTCCTTCACTAAATAAACAACAAAATGATCACAAAACAGCTACAAAATACTAAAACCTACTGTTGCCAATGTATAGACAGCAGCCCACGATAACAATACTGTCAAATTTAGTATCACGATATATATTGATATTTCTATATTTTTGCACAATCTTAGTCTATGATAATGGGTGTGATTGACAGGCGGATTAGTAAATTTAAAAAAAAAAAGGTGATCTGTTTTTATTTAAAAAAAAACACACACAGTGCAGACTTGAACTTTTAGAGAAGTTAGAGAAGTGATTTTGTTCTAAATGATGGATGACTAATGAGATTTTCCCGTCTTTGATTCACTGAAATAGACAGGATTTCAGTCTGGATTTACCAAGTAAACTATTCTAAATACTTGATATCCTGTTCAAACAATATATTCCCCTGTGCCAGGCTTAAACTTTGACAAAGCAGCATGTTCCTACAGGAGGCATATTTGAGATGAAGGTTGTAAAGATGGTTTATGTCTCTAATCTCATTCTACCTTAAACTGAACTCTTATACATGATAGCCCCAATTTAAAACCACCACAAAAGCAATTTTCTTTGTCAGTTTAATGGCGTATACATATATTTAGCGTTCATAGTACTATATTCTTGATGTGCTATCACCATTACTTTTATTTGACATCTTTATTGAATTACTTGACATGTTGACATCTTATTTGAATAGAATTTCTGCCTGAGATCCTGAACACGGGTCTGAAAGAGGACAGGCTGTCTGTTGTTAACCTGATTTTGACTACACTAAAGAGCAGAGTGAGTAAATACCTATTAAATATATCAGGACTATAAACTTAAACAACTCATAATCCTGTATTTGTCTCTTGGCAGGTTGTTCTGAACAAAGGCATCAGTAAAACTCAGAAGGTGCGCTTCTTCACAGCAGCAGTGTTGGCAAACTTGGCATCACTTTACAAATGGAACGGGATCGTTGATGCTGCCACTGAGGAAGACTCTGTAAGATGATTTTTAGACTTTTAACTACACTTAGACAGACTTTATTGATCCACAAGGCAAATTATTTGGACACAGTAGCTCACACATCACAATATAATATAATAACAAAGAGTAAAAAATATAAAAGGTGATAGTAAATTCAAAATAAGTAACAAAAATAGCAAGAGACTGGTGTCAAATAAAACATAATTATATAAATGTTTATGTACAGTGGTGAGTTGTTGTAGGGAGCATTATCTTTTACATAAGGGAGAGTTGTACAGTTGTAGGGAATATTATCTGTTACATAAGGATGAGATTTTGTGCAGTTGTAGGGAGTATTATCTGTTACACAAGGATGAGATTTTTTTTGTGGTAGTAGGGAGTATTATTTGTCACATAAGGGTGAGTTGTACAGTTGTAGGGAGTATTATCTGTTACATATTGTGAGTTGTTGTACAGTTTTAGTGAGTATTATCTGTTACATAAGGGTGAGTTGTTGTACAGTTGTAGGGAGTATTATCTATGACATAATGGCAAATTATTATACAGTTGTAGGGAGTAATTTGCATCATCTGTAAATGCATTGACTGTTTATTCGATTTCTGTGTGTTCTCAGATGGAGGACGACTCGCAGCAGACCGGAGTGTCTCTGGTCCGGGCTCAGGTCCACAGTTTTCTCGTGGACCTGTGCTGCTCTCGTAAACATGGCATCAGCTTTCATGATTCTAGCTTTGGAACTGCTGGCAGGTAAGGAAAACGAAGAGCTTTTGAGTTGTACTTTTTATACAATACAGGTTTATTTATTTGAAAGACCAGTGGTGGATGAAGGACTCAATTTTGTTACTTAGGTAAAAGTACAATTATAGAGGCAATATGTAAAAGTAAAAGTATCACATGAAAAAATCTACTTAAGTAAAAGTATTAAAGTAACCATTTAAAAAATTCTTAAAAAGTAAAAAAGTATTTTACTCTATATTTTTGTATATATTCAAGGATAAAATGTAGAGATTTTGATAATGTTGATGTGGTGACATTTCAATTGATTTTTTTTTTTTTTTTTACTTTTTCTAGCTGTTTATGTGTATTTGGTTTGCTCAAAGTTGGGACAAAAACTCAACTGCCATTTCAGCAGGTCTCAAATCATAAACAGGGTTCCCACAGTCATGGAAATCCTGGAAAAGTCATGGAAATTGAAAATGTAATTTTCTAGACCTGGAAAAATCATTTTGTGGAGTAGAAAGTGCAGACGTTTTCAAATGTTGTGAAGTAAAAGTGAAGTAAAAGTAAAAAGTTTCCACTGTAAAATCCACTGTAAAATGTACTTAAGTAAAGTACTTTTATTTTTGTACTTAGTTACCTTCCACCTCTGTACAAAACAGACAAACGTGTAGTGCCCAGTCATGTACAGTGGTGAAAGTGCTATTAAGACATAACAAAACATAATATGGTTTGCTATTTACAGTTGTATGTGAGAAGTTTGTGTTATCTGTGTGTGATTTGCGTGGTTTTGGAGACTGTATGGTGGGTGAATTTATTTTTTGGTTGACCTATACCACAGTGCTGTGTAAAGTGAGGTGCAGTACACTCAAACAAACACTTTACAACACTTTAACTTCAACAGAAAAGGAGTCAAATTTCCCCAACTCATATCACTATTGACATGTTTAGTCTTGTTGTTTGTTTAGAGCTGGAAACCTGGTCCTCCTGCAGTTCCTGGTGGGACTGAAGCAGGCACCAGAGGACGACCTGGTGGCAGAGCTGGTGGTGAACGTCCTGAAGGCCAGTCCCGATATTCTGTCCAGATATTTCAAAGAGACGCAGCACTCGTACACTCCTCGCCCCAAGAGCACCTGGCAGGACAACGTCAACCTCATGAAGAAGGTAAATATCAATACGACTATGAGTCCTGGGTCGGTCCTGGCTTATATACTGCAGAGGGATCATTTTTAAAGGCGCTGTACCTGATTTTTACTTTCTTAACTCATCTACTTAAAATAAAAAACAGAACTAGTTCATTTTAAACAGTTTGCAGTGGTCCAAACTTATTCCTCACTTACCTTATGCACTGCGATTTACACTTAATTTCTTACTGTTTCAACGCAATTAAGCTCTTTTCTCAGCTTTCAGAGACTAATGCAGAGTTTTGCCATGACAGTATAGCTACCAGCAACTAGCATGCTACCACAGACTTCCTGATTGGAGAATAAGTGCTTAATGAAAAGCAGACAGCATACAGCAGACTTATTTTTTTACCTCAAGAGCTGCTTATACAATATGTCTGCTCTGGAGTAAGACAAACTTTGCTGATGGTGAGAGGATGAGGAAAGTGAAGAGGAAAATGAGAGGATGAGGAGAGTGAAGAGAAGGATGAGAGGATGAGGAGAGTGAAGAGGATGATGAGAGGACGAGGAGAGTGAAGGGGATGATGAGAGGATGAGGAGCGTGAAGGGACAATGAGAGGATGAGGAGCGTGAAGAGAACGATGAGAGGATGAGGAGAGTGAAGATAACGATGAGAGGATGAGGAGAGTGAAGGGATGATGAGAGACGAGGAGAGTGAAGATAACGATGAGAGGATGAGAGAGTGAGATAACGATGAGAGGATGAGGAGAGTGAAGGGGATGATGAGAGGACGAGGAGAGTGAAGAGAACGATGAGAGGATGAGGAGAGTGAAGGGACAATGAGAGGATGAGGAGAGTGAAGAGAACGATGAGAGGATGAGGAGAGTGAAGAAGGGGATGATGAGAGGACGAGGAGAGTGAAGATAACGATGAGAGGATGAGGAGAGTGAAGGGACAATGAGAGGATGAGGAGAGTGAAGGCGATGATGAGAGGATGAGGAGAGTGAAGAGAACGATGAGAGGATGAGGAGAGTGAAGGGGATGATGAGAGGATGAGGAGACTAAAGGGGAAGATGAGGAGAGGATGAGAATAAAGTGGACGAAGAGAGAATGAGGAGAGAAGAGAACGATGAGAGGATGAGGAGAGTGAAGGGACGATGAGAGGATGAGGAGAGTGAAGGGGACGATGAGAGAATGAGAGAGTGAAGAGGACGACAGAGGATGAGGAGAGTGAAGAGGACGACGAGAGGATGAGGAGAGTGAAAGGGACGATGAGAAGATGAGGAGAGGATGAAGAGAGAAGGGAAAGATAAGAGGATGAGGAGAGTGAAGGGAATGATGAGAGGATGAGGAAATGAAAGGGATGAGGAGAGTGAAAGGGAAGATAAGAGGAAAGTGAAAGGGATGATGAGAGGATGAAGAGAGTGAAGGAGATGAAGAGAAGATGAGGAGAGTGAAGGGACAATGAGAGGATGAGGAGAGACAGGAGCAAAGTTAGGTCTTCCAGGCTGAATTCACACTGGCTCCATTTGTTTTTATGTCTGCTGTTTCTGATCTTTTATAATTGTTGTTGAAATGAATTAAATAAAAATAAATAAATAAATTTTCTTATTGGATTATCATAAATGTGATACGAATCTTAGAAATCACTGAGCTAAGTTTGAAACAGTAACCTCACAAAGTTTGGAAATCATAAGTTTGTGATGCCTTCTGGGTGTGCGGTTTTTGTTTTGGAAAATAATGCTCCAATTTCTACTGCGATGCACCTGAATACCCGCTCTAAGGCTTTGTTTACTGTGTGCTTATTGTAGCTGCTCTGTAATTTAAACATTTTATTTCAGATCTACGAAGCCCAGCCAGATGTTTCCAGCATTTTCCAGAGTCAGGAGGCCGTCCCCAGCAGCCGCCAGCTCAGTATGATCCATGTGCTGTCTCTGCCTCCAGTCTGCAACAAGGCTTTCTTCACACAGGGGCTCAATGTAAGACGCGCACACTCAACTTTGGTTCATATTATCTGAGCATTTGGCAACGTTATGTTTTTAGTAAGGATGCACCGACTTTTCTGGTGGAGGGTCTGTTACCTTTTTCTCTCCATAGTGATGTTATTGCTTTGCCTGGAATGGTATGACTTTTTAAACATTTCCATCTAGTATTTGTTCATTACGAGTGTTTCTGTTGCTCAAAAATGCAATAATTCCTCCTGTGAATAGGGGAGACTCTCCACAGATCTCAACTGCTTGTCTCCCTTGTGATAAATAGGTTAAATCTATACTGTGGAACATTCTAGACCAGGGGTTTTCAAATTGGGTGAATGTGAGTCTCCCCTTAGAGAAGGTAAAGACGGCCAAGCCCAAACTCCCATCCGCCTGCTCTCTCCCACACAGGCCTTTGAAGTAAATGCATCTTTTGTGTTCCTGGCAGTGATGAGTTTCAATAACAAGGAAGCAAGCAATTAAACCAGGTCTAAACTAGGTCTAAACCAGGTCTAAACCAGGACTAAATCAGGACTAAACCAGGACTAAACCAGGACTAAACCAGGACTAAACCAGGACTAAACCAGGTCTAAACCAGGTCTAAATCAGGACTAATCTTCGACTTGGGAGAGAGAGAGAGAACCCTGAGCCCATGGAGCAAGGTGTCCACAAAGCGCGATTGGGTGGCAGCTCCGTGAGGCGTGTAGCTCTGCGGCGGTCTACATGGGCACACCTTCTGGCCCGTCCCGACACTCAGTCCTGATTCAGTCCTGGTTTAGTTCTGTTTTAGTCCTGGTTCAATCCTGGAGTATTTCTGTTTTAGTCCTGGTTCACTCCTGGTTTAGTTCTGTTTTAGTCCTAGTTCAGTCCTGGTTTAGTCCTCCTGATTCAGTCTTGAGATCAGTCCTGGTTTAGTCCTGGTTTAATCCTGGTTTAGTTCTGTTTTAGTCCTAGGTCTTAGTCCCTGATTCAGTCTTGAGATCAGTCTGGTTTAGTCCTGGTTTAGTCCTGGTTTAGTCCGCTTGTCATGCCTCCCCCAGTGGCTCTTTGACGCCCCCCAGGGGAGGCGGACCTCACCTGTTGAAAATCACTGTTTTAGACAAAGCAATAACTTTTCCATGGAGACATCAGGTGGCGCACCCTCCACTAGAAATGTTACTAATTTAAGCTCAGTATTAAAGCCATTTTCAGTCCCCACACTGGTATTGTTTTTTTTTCCTTCATCAGAGCATGTTTGACTCATTACAAAATGGATCAAATTGTGTTATGTAAATGTAATTTATCCTACAAGTACCTACTGAACAGCTTTGTATGAGTAAATCTAAAATGACTGGATATGCTATTGTAAATATTTGTCAATAATTACTTGGTGCAGAATGCAGAATAGAAGTTAAAGACTGTAATAAATCAAGAATAATCACATCTCAAAAGTGTGAATCCTTTTTCAATCACAGCAGAACATCGATAAACCCAGTCTCCCTGTCCCAGTCTCTCATGGACCATTACTATACTCACTACTCCATTAATCACAATATATCTCCTGTCTTCCTGCCCAGCTCCCCAACACAGCAGTGCAGCTCACCACCTTCTCTGTGATGAACTTCATACTGAAGCGAGCTCACACAAACCTGCTGCAGCTCCAGGAGAGAGCCGCGTGCAGCTCCGCAGACGTGCTGAGTGCAGACAACATGACCGACCTGATCCAGCTCTACAGGGAGAGCCTCAGCAAAGTACACGAGCTCCACTTTTATTAACGCTAATGCTTTTGATATTCAGGAGGCTGAGGGACATGTGCATTGTTCCCTTTTAGATTTTACCAGACATGACGACCATTGTTGGAAAATGGCAGGCTCTGAGTAAGAAGGACAAAGGAGCGAGTGATGCAACAAAACCAGAGAATGAACAGAGTGTTGAAGAAGGACAAGGTAACACAAATATTTTTCATAGCCTACGACACACAGCCATCAACTTTGTGTGTGAGTGAGTGACTGGAGGAAGGACCAGTTGGCAGCAATGTAATGTTTTTGTGTGTCCATTCCCTGTATAAAGCCTTATTACTGAATTATCTAAATGTATAGAATAAGCTTTGACATTTTGATATGTCATAGTTAATATTAATATTATTTAATGTATGTTTTCTTCCAGTTCCAGAGACAGCAGAGGTGATTTTGCTCAAAGCTCTGATTCTTCAGGTCATTTGTCTGTATCAGAAAGTGGTGCCACATCTGGTGTCACAGTGCAAGTTTGACTTCAGCAAACTCCTGAAAGGTACTGTCTCATATTCATAGATTTAGACTAAGACTTAGACAAACTTTATTGATCCACTAAGGAAATTATTTGGACACAGTAGCTCACACATCACAATATATACTGTAATATAATAACAAAGAGCAAAAATCTAAATGGTTAAAATAAATTCAAAGTAAGTAGGAAAAAAAGATGGCAGAAGACAGGTGTCAAAGAAGGCATAATTATAGAAATGTGTATGTAGAAGTAAAAATAAAATAGAAAGATTAGTAATAAAATATTTAAAAATCACAGCTTTATGCAAGAGGTCACAGGAAGACAAATATGCAAGAAATATGAAACAAAGTATGAAGCCAACGCATGAAAGTACACTCTGTTTAATACAATAGTATAAATGATTTTTCTTTACCTTCAGGGATCTTGTCTGAGAAGGGCCTAAAAGAGGAAGTCCCCCCTGTTCTGCAGTACCACATCCTGCAGCTGGCTCTAGAGCTGCCCTCCAGCAAGTTCTCCTGGTTCCGGTTTCAGGTGAGTGCCACTGACCAGTAGTACCAAGTATGGAGTTAGATTGGTACTATACTTTTTGTACTGCAGTTAGTAGGCTTCTATTTGTTTCAACAAGTATGAAACTGTTATTTAAAATGATCGGATGTTTATATGAATCATTTAGGAAGCTGCAGACAGTGAGTCCTCGTCCTTAGAGAAATCCGTCCTGTATCAGATTTTGAACATGTTTGTGAGCAGCAGCAGGAGTCACCTGAAGACCTCCACGAAGCAGCTGGTTCTTAAGGTGGGTGAGCCAGGCATTGATTCTTAAAGGTGCATTGTGTAAATCTTTCATTGCGGGTCCGCCAAATGCTTTTCTCGATGGAGTTACTATAGTTACTTCTTTGTGTGCAATGTTTCACAGTATGGTGTTAAACTTTTTTTCCTTCATGGAGACCAAACCAGACCAAGTTACAGGTCAGATCTGTGGAGTGGTAACCCTCTTCACAGTCAGAATGTTTGTTTTTCTAGGTATTTTTGAGCTACAAAAAACAACTATAATTGAATACATGTAAGGTCAATCTGAGGATCTAAAGTCTGCTGAGTTCATATTTTTAAAAGTGAACTCAAAACTTATCTTTCTAATTTAGCTTTTAATTGAAACTAATGTCATTCAAATTGTATTATTATTATTGCATTTGTTTTAAATTAAATTATTATTATTATTATTTTACTTAGTCTTCGTCTAATTTTAGCTCTCCATTTCTTATTTATTTCTTCTTATTATTTAATTAATTAATTATTATTTTTTTTTTTATTTTTTTATTAAAGTTGGGTGTTTTATGTTTGTGTCTAAATTGTTGTAGATAAGGAAGAAACCCTGGGGTGGGGGTGAGGTTGCTGTTGTTTTTAATCACTGTAAAAAAAATTGCTGTTGCATTTGAATCACTTTGTTCAAATGTATGCTATACAAATAAAGATTGATTGAACTATGTAATGATATTGTATTGTAGAACATTCCCAGAAGAGCAATGACGGACCCCCCAACCAAAAAGTTACACAGTGCACTTTAATCTGATTCATGTGCTAAAGTCCTTTTGAGTCAGCGTACTAAATATTGACTTATTGATTTCCTTCCTTTGGTCCAGGTCCTGAAGGACAGTGGTGTGTTTGAATACACCTGGACTGAGCTGGAGCTGTGGCTGGACCAGCTCACTGCCCTCGAGCAAAGTCAACGGGAAACTGTCATCCATTTTCTTGAAAAAGTAAAATTTAAAAAATAAAATGTGAAAGTACTTTCAAGGGTATATGTTATAATTTAACACTGTACATTAATTCTGTGGTTTCAGGTGTTGGTGAAGCTGGTCTCCTCCTCTCACGTTTACACCGATAAAGTGGCCAGTCTGGTCCAGGAGGCTGCTTATGTCCAGGCCAACCTCAGCGGGCAGGAGGGGGACGCAGCCAGTATCCCCGTCTCTCATATAGATGGTAAAGAAAAACACAATTGGTATTTTCCACAATATGACAATGAACAGCTCTACTTTACATTTATTCAATTACAGGTGGTTTTATAGCTCAAAAATACCTAAAAAAAAAACAAGCATTCTGACTGTGAGCGGGGTCGCCTCTCCACAGATCTGACCTGTAACTTGGTCTGGTTTGAAGATAGAAAGGTTTAATGCCATACTATGGAACATTCCAGACAAAGCAAAACATCTCCACTGGAAAAGTTAAACAATGCACCTTGAAGCAATGACATAAAAATCGTGAAGCACTACATTATGGTACAAATTCAGAAAAAATGTAAGCATTAAACTACATTAAATATAAAAATCAAATTGACTTTTTTATATTTTTACTACAGCACCATGGTTAATAATTTCAAATACAAACACTTATACACGCTCTGTTACATTAAGTTTCTTGCAACTCTGCTTTAGACATTTTCTCACATTATTATCATTTTTTTTCATGTAAAAATTTATTCTGAAATGTCATATATTCTCTTGTTTCAAAATGAGTTTGTTTCCAAAACTGTATATTTATTTTGTCAAAAAAAACAAAAAAACATTCAATTTGACATTTCATTTTGTGTCCACTTTCAAACAGATGTGCTGGACATGCTGGACGTGATCATGGAGAGCAGTGAGGGGGAGATGGAGGAGTTTGGACCTCCTCTGAGTGAAGAGCTCATCATTCAGACGTTTCCCTTCAGCGCCCTGGTGCCCGCTGCCCTCGAGGCCAGGAACAAACTGTCCTCTGGGAAAGGTACGATTTTAGGATGGAACATGCACCTTGAACTAGTGTTTACAGTCGTTTTGAATAATGGGTTTGAGGTTGTATAATTATAAATGTGTTATAATCCTCTCTCCATTCCTCTCCCCTTCTCTCTTTCTCTCCAGATGTGGTGTTTGAGTACCTGAGCTCCGTCCTCTGTCAGGTGCTACACTGTCAGAGAGACCCCCTGCCCCTGTGCATGGCCCTGCTGCACTACGACAAAGAGCTCATGACCTCTGACCCCTCCTCTGACTCCTCCTCTGACTCCTCCCCTCACCCCTCTGTACTCCAGCTGCACCAGTACTACTCCAAATGGCTCCCTCAGCAAAGCGACAAGGAACTGGTCAGTCATTATTTTCAGCTGATTTTGATGATGTTTGATGTAATTTTCTTTCAAAAGTCTTACAAAATTATTAAGGAATTTAGAATATTTTTGGAGAAAACAATATAATTATGTCCAACTACCTGAATAAGGAACAATGAATTGAAATTGTAGTGATAAGAGGATCCTTTGCTTTGTTTTAGTGAGACAAATCTACGTCTTTGCTTCTTTACTTCTTTATACAGAAATATACAAAAAAATTAACACGCTCCATCTGTAAACAACAAAAATTCTCAGTTGACTAAAGAGATCTGCTGCTAATTGATGTAGATTAAAAAGGGTGTGAGGAAAGCTTTCAAAAACAATGTACCGTATTTTCTGGGCTATTAGGCGCTCTGGATTATAAGACGCACTGTCACTGAATGGTCTATTTTCGAACTTTTTTCACAAATAAACTGCACCGGACTTTAAAGGAAACACAACAGCTGGATGGGTCAGTGGGACTTTGTTTGGCGCGTTCACGGTGACTCTGGGCTTTGTTCAGTTGTGGCGTGTAGGGAGGGTGCTGTCTGGGACCGCTGGATTGTTGGCGTGTTCGCAGTGACTCAGTTGTTCAGTCGTGTCTAGAAGTGGCACATTGCACTCGCTTTTTCAGTTCGTTCCTCCGTTCCGTTCCTCGTCGGCGTGGAGTGATGAGTGTGGCTGAGGGTGTTTTTCGCGGCGCGGTCACTGTCTGCTCCGTGTGTGTTTGTATGCGCTTCGGGCTTTGTAGTTTACTGAAGTCGTGCTGGGACCCCGAGTGGATTCGTGTATAGGGCGCTCTGGGTTGCGGGGTGCGCAGTTGTTTTTTGATGGGGTTGGAGGCTTAAGAGCACACCCTATGGTGTGGAAAATACGGTATTATTTGCAGGGGAGTTGACAGGTGGAGACAAAGGGGTATGTCGTCCCAGGCCCTTGCTTCTTAGGGGCCCATAAATGGAACTTTTGCCTATTAATTCATATAAGAAGGGGACCCATGTGAGACTTTTTGCCCTGGGCTCTGAAATTTCTGTTGACGGGCCTGGTTATTTTTATGATCTGACCATGTAACTGCACTCATATAAAATACTACAGCTGTGTGTGTGTTCATGCAAAAACAACAATGTACACGGAAAAGTACTAGGGAAAAGTGTGTTTATATGGAAAAAGTCAGATTAAAAACAGGATTCACTCCCAAATCTTGAGCTAATCCTCCTTACCTTTGTGTTGCTGTGCAAAAGAAGAAAGAGATCCACTCTGCGGTTTGGGTCAAGCCCTTCTTCAGGCATGTCTTCATATCTGAAAAAGGGCTTGACCCGAAATGTCACATTGTGGTGTCACTGAAATAAATAAAAAATTGAGAGCTTCAAAGAACTGCAGTGTGGATCTCTTTCTCTTTATTTTTCACAGTTTTTGTTTTTGGACCCAGCATGCAGTCGAAATTTTTATTGGATGTGCATGTCTCAGGCTACCAGTACCCTTTCTGTTGTTGTCCCATATAAATCCTTATCAAAATAAAAATAATTAGGCGACTAATACAAGTTTTGGTCAAGATTTGGTGGGACTATAGCCCTATAATGAAAAATAGAATACTCATTGATTGTGGAATAAGAAATGTTCTTAAAGGTCCTATATTACACAAAATTAACTTTTTTGCTTTTCGCCTTGTTATAATGTTGTTACTTAGGCTTAAACTTTATTGATCCACAAGGGAGATTATTTGGACACAGTAGCTCAAACATCACAATAAATAGAATAACAAAGAGCAAAAAATCTAAATGGTAATAATAAATTCTAAATAAGCAGCAAAAAAAATTAGCAGAATAGATATTATTATATAAATGTAAATGTACAAGTCAAAAAAAGATATAGAAATATGTCTTCCTATGACCTCTTGTAAGCTGTGATTTATTTTATTATCTTTCAATTTTATTTTTACTTGTACATTTACATTTATCTAATTATGTCTTATTTGACACCAGTCTCTTCGCTATCTTTTTTGCTACTTATTACCATTTATATTTTTGCTCTTTGTTATTGTAATTATAGTGATGTGTGAGCTACTGTGTCCAAATAATTTCCTTTGTGGATCAATAATGTTTGTCAAAGTTTAAGTCTAAGCCTCTAGCTCCAGGTCTGATTGTGATGAGGAAACAGAATTATAACATAGAAAATAGAAAAATAATCAGAAAATAGTGGAATATGGGCCATTTAAATATAGAAAAAGTTTAGGCAATACACCGACTCTTCTTGTGTGTAAAATTATGATTGTTTTTTTTTAACAGTTCAAGTCTGTGGAAACCCTCCACAAAGATCTTCAAACTGCAGCTACTACATTCAGTGCTCTCCTGACAGAAGCGTACATCCAAGGACCGAAAGCTCTAACCAAACCCGACTTTGTACAAACTATAGAAGCATCTATGTCCAGTGCTGTCTTTCCTGTCGCCATCAAACAAGTGCTGCTCTACATCAAGACCACAGTGGAGGACTTTGGTTCGGTATGTTTTTACACAATTCAGATTCTTAAAACCAGCTTCGTGGTTAATTAGACTTTGATGTTTTTTACAGTTTTCCAAAGATGAAGGAAATGCTGTGTTGAAGAACCTGCTCAAAATCCTGCAGCTCCTTGTAGGCAGGGTCTTGGTGATCGATGAAGACTCTCCATCAGAACAGAAGGAGGTAGAACGTTCTCAAGAGGGATCTGACCTTTTCCTGGAGGTCAACCAGACGTCTGAGGAGGAAGGAACCAAAGAGCAGGTTGGCATGACAAACTTTTATTATTATTCCATACAATATTAGGCTCAGGTATTGTAGGTACAGTAAAACATAAGGGTGGCTCTCAACCAGCTATTCACTTACTTTTATTTTATGAGAAAAATGGTCTGAAGGTACTCTGTGTAGTTTTTCTAGTGGGGGGTCTGCCACCTGCTCCATGGAAATGATATGGCTTTCCCATGTTCCACAATATGGTATTAAACAGATCTGTCATGCATTGATCCAGTTAAAGTTTTATCCCTCTGAATCACCTTCAGAAATGAGCATTCTTCCTGTGAGTTGAATCGCCTCTCCACAAATCTGACTTGTACTTTAGCAGTGTGGCATTGCTCATTTATCTCAGGCGAAGTAAAAATTATCTCTTTATGGACACAAATGCATATAAAAGTGGTTATAAATAGATGGGTTTTCGCTTAAAACAATGTACGGTAATTAAAAAGTTTTATTTTTGTTTTTGACACACCCAGGGACATGCAGGAATGATTCAGAAAATCTCTTTAGGGTAAGGGAACAGCATTATAACATAGTAGAAAGCTCCAGAAAGTTGAGTTAGCATAATATTAGGGATATAACAATACCCAAATCTCTCAGTAGGATAATTTCAGAATATGCATCTCATGGTACGATATTTAATGCTATATTTTATTTTGTGATGGTTTACAAACTAGTGAATATGCTACAGTTATTTCTTTACGTAGTCTGCATTTAAACAGTCTGCATTTTAGCCATTGCTGCACCACAACAATGAATTTAAGCAAAGAAACTTGTCATCTGATATATTGTGATTGTCCATGATACGATTGTGAGATTTCTGATATTACTATATTTGGGTTACTGTTACCATCCCTACATAATACCTCCTCTTTAGGCACACCATTATCCTACGAGCCCAGGAGACAGTAGGCCCAACCACTTTACTTCTTAATGAATGTTAAAATGCAGCTTAATTTTTTGGTTGAATTAACTTTTCTTTCAGCACTTGAAATTAGGGACATTTTGTTGAATATGGCATTTGGACACACAATTAACGCAAGCTTTTAAATCGTTCTAAAGTCTCCCTTCCTGTCTTTAGGTCATTATCTCCAGCCTGTCCTCCATCTTGAAGCATCCCAGTATTCAACAGTGGTTCCTGGCTGTGGAGCGGGCCGCCATACCCCCTCACAACCTCAAACCAGTGCGCCTCAAACTGCTCTGCTCCATGATGACCAAAGATATCCAGGCCTTCCTTATTCTCACGTTGCCTGTACTCAAAAAACTCAACCAACAAGACCTCTTCAAGCACTTTACTGATGCCATTGTGACAACCGTACTCAAGGAGCTAAATGAGATCAACATCCACCTAACAACGACCGAATCCAAAGCGATGGAGGCTCTTACTTCACTTTTCTACTACATGGACTTTTCAGAAGTTAAGGAAGTTGTTTCGAAGCTTCTGCTACTACCACAAGATGTCCTTTTTTGTACAAATGAAGAAGGAACCCAGCGTCTTACCGTCTATGGTCAGGCTGCTTTGGTACTCCTCACCAAAAGCAGTTCAGCAGGGTCTATATTTTTGTCCCAGGCTCACCTCAGCGGCCTTGGGACTCTGCTCTTGTCGTGCTCGAGTCCAGAATTAGAAGCTTTCTTTCTGCAAATTCTCACCAAAGAGCCGAGCAGTGCCAAGCTGATCCATACCAAGGTTTTGTTGTACTGTCTTCAGCAAAAGAGAGTGGACATTCTAAAGATGGCGAGTCTGTTGTTACAAAACTGCAGCACGCACAGGCTCTGCTTCGAGAGGTTTTGTTTGGAGCCGGGAAACATGGAGGATTTGGTCAAAGAGATGGACGCATTTCATTCACTTATTAATGCGTACCTTCAGCTCGCAGGGACAGAGGATCCTGCCAGGCCCAAAGATGGTAGGTACCCATGTTTTATCATATTTTGCGGAGATTTTATGTGGAAAAATAAAAATAAATCTGTTTGTGATTCTTGAGAGTCAGGATAAACAGGTGCTCTCTAAAACACAGTAATATATTTTCTACAAATCGACTCTATTTGCACTTACTGGAATTAGTTAGACAAATGATAATACACAAATTAATAGGCAGTTTATAAAAGTAAAAAAGAAAGAATACAATGACATCTAGATGAAGAAAACCAGGCAATTTTCTCAGTTTTCCCAGATTTTGTCAGAGTTTCTACCTCTAACAGAAGCAATTATTCACGTTTCCAAACGACGACCAGTTTTGTGACGTAAGCGTGAATAGAGCCCATTCATATCATAAATACAAAGTTAAATCTTAGGGAGATATGTATACTGGAGCTATTTATTTGAAAATATTTTAGAATTTTTTTTACTATTTTTATGTAAAGTAACATTTTAACTCAGACTTATTTTGTGTGTCCTCTGAACCCCGAAGAGTTCAGAGATTTCAGCTGCTCAAAAACATTTAAAAACACTATGTATTTGAATAAAATTGCATTAGATTATTTTAATAGGCTTTAAATATTAAAAAGAAAATGCCTGTGGTAAAATTGACATGTTGAATTTTGTAGAAAAATATTTTCACATAATACTGTCTCATCTTTTTGTCAAGTTTCTCAGTTCAGTGGGAGATCTGTATTCTGGTGCTATTTGTCTGAAAGTATTCTAGACTCTTGTTTTGTTTTTTTTAAGCAATTTTGATGTAAATGAACATTTTAATTAGGCCCGAGCCCCGACAGGGCGTAGGGCGCTTTAATTTAGATTTGTTTTGTGTGTGCTCTGAGCCCCAAGAGTTCAGAGATTTCTGTTGCTCAAAAACATTTAAAAACTCTGCATTAGGTTATATTAGAAGACTTTTCATATTAAAAAGAAAATGCCTATGGTAAAATTGTGAAAATATTTTTCTATAAAATTCAGCTGCTCATAGTACTGTCTCATCTTTTTGTGAAGTTTCTCAGTTCAATAACAAAACCACATACTTTTTTGGAAAGAAAGTTACATACTGTGGCTTTAAGGTTTATTTTTGGAGTGTAGTTTGATTGAAATGACTTCATTTTGCTTCTATAATGCACAGTAATTTAAACGTTGTTAAACGGACCAGAATAGTTATGATTATAAGTCCAAAACATTACAAAAATCCACAGTACGTCGTTACTATTTTTCTGAGTGACTGAAATTCTGATAATGATTCTTTTTTCTATTTTCCATTTTTGTAGTGCAAGAACAAGTCCTGAAGACACTGAAGCGTGGCCTGCTGCCCGGATTGTCCCAGCGTGTACTTGAAAATCTCCCTGAAACCTCTGAAGCAGACTATGTAGAAACTCTTTGCAGTTTGATCAAGCTCTCTGCCGATACTAAAGACATTAAAGACCTCAGGACCAAGCTCCCCACTGCCCTACAGACTCCAGACCATTTGGAAAGGTAATATGAAACTTTAAAAGCCTGTACCTGATTATTTCTCATGTATTTGAGCAAAATTTGTCTCATCCCAGTACAGATATGTTGTATAAGCAGCTCTTGAGGTCAAAATAAGTCCGCTATGTACTTTTTTCGCCAAGTTATAAAGTGTTTTATTGTCTGAGGCTCAGGAAGTGAGCAGTTAGCATGCCATTTGTTGTTAGTGTTACCACTCAGGCCTCTGAAAATTATGGAACGTGCTTATAAACTCATTGCTGTGAATAATTAAGTTACTTGGATTACAATAGGTTAGTGAGGAATAACTTTGGACCACCACAATCTGTTTTTCATGTGTTTTAAGACTGTAAAAATCTGTACTGAGGCTTTTAAGTCTGAAAAGATGTTGATTGAATTGCGTTTGTCGTCCTCCAGGTGGCGCTTGGTTGATGTTATATCACAGAAGCTGGTTGGGAGCCCAGAGGAGAGCGAGCGCTGGAGGAAGTCTGTGCTCTCTGCTGCCCTCGTGTGTCTGAAAGCTGCGTACAGTCAGCTTAAAGACCCGGACGCCTCACGATCACAGCAGGAGCAGAGAGTTTTGGACTCACTGCAGGGACTCCTGGTGGGTTTTTATATGGTTTGATCCATAACTGAACTGAATTAACAGACTGAACCAGGACTGAACCGAGACTAAACCAGGATTGAAAACCTGGTTTTCCTGGTTTTTGAATCCTAATGCTGTAATTTGATTCAGAATAATACGGAATGCCCTCTTCAACTTTTTCTTTCTTGATTTCCTCATTTCTACAGACGAGTTCCAGTGACATCCCTGCATCTGAATGGAACAGCTTTGTCAAAACTGGGCTCAAGTAAGGAAAACTTTGTCATATTCTTAAATATCCTATTTTACACAGAATTGACTCTTGTGAGCATTTAGCCATGTCATTAAAGACATACCTGGAGTTGTGTTGTGTTCTGTTTCATTCACACATGTTTGAGTAATCCTGCATTATTAGTCTGTCTACACCTCCAAAGTTCAAAATTCTATGTTCCACCTTGTGATGTCATGAAGCGTTTTTTTAACTTACCTTTTGTCCAGTAGACATTGTCAATTTCAGGGCTGAAATTATCCAAATGATTCTAGTGAGTGGAGAATCCCTGCCTCAAGTGGAGGAGATCAAGTATCCCGGGGTCTTGTTCACGAGTGAGGGGAGGATGGAGCGTGAGAATGACGGCGGATCAGTGCAGCGTCTGACCGTTGTGGTGTCGAAAGTCAATGCTCTCGATTTATTGGTCAATCTATTTTCCTCCCCTCACCTATGATCATGAACTTTGGGTAGCGACCAAAAGGACGAGATCACAGATACAAGCGGTTGTAATGAGTTTCCTCCACAGGGTGGCTGGGCACTCTTTTAGAGATAGTGTGAGGAGCTCGGTCACATGGAAAGAGCTCGGAGTAGAGCTGCCTCCTAGATGTCTCCCTCGGGAGGTGTTCTGGGCAGATCCCACTGGGAGGAGGCCCTGGGGAAGACCCAGAATACGTTGGAGGGACTATGTCTCTCGGCTGGCCTGGGAACGCCTTGGGGTCCCCCTGGAGGAGCTGGAGGAAGTGTCGGGGGTGAAGGAAGTCTGGGAGTCCCTGCTTAGTCTGCTGCCCCGGGACCCGACCCCAGATAAGTGGAATAAAATGGATGGATGAAGCTTTATGGAGTTTAAAAACGCATTGGCCCATTCTATTCTATTTCCATGTGACATCACAAGGTGGAACAGAGAGTTTTCTACATTAGAGAAGAGCACAGTTTAAAAATATGCAGGGTTTGTGTGTTAAACTTGTGTGAATGAAACAAAACACAACTCCAGGTCTGTTTGTGAAGAGGAAGCATTATAACATAAATCAAGTCCTTTAAATAATCCTGCTGTAAAATGTGACTAAAACACCCCTCTGTGTTGTAGACACCGATACAAACATGGACCCTTCCTCGCCTCCCTCACCAGCCTGGTGGAGGTGATGTACAGAGAGGAGACTCGCACAGACCTGCTGTCTTTATCCACCCTCCACATGATGAGCTCCAGCCACTCCCTGTTCCTGCCCTGTATGCTGGACTCTACTCAGGAGCAGGCCGGGGCTCAGGCTAAAGGTACAGTACTTTTCATAATACAATCCAACTTTATTTTTAATGCACTTTAAAAACTACACAGTGGACCAACGTGCAGTACACAACAATAATTATAAAAGGTAATAAAATAAACACAGATTACAAAAAACATAGATACATAAAAACACACCTTTGACTGAGACACAGACAAAGGTCACAGTAGAAATATTGAAACAAAATTTGAATTTCCCTCGGGATCAATAAAGTATCTGTCTGTCATCAAAACCTGTGTATCATTCGTTCATTCGTTTTTCAATATAAAACCAAAAATAAGAAAACAAAAAAACAACGAATAATGATTTGTTTTTTTTCAGTTTTCGGTTTTGTGTTTAAATGAAAAATGGAAAAAATGGATAACGGCCGTTTCCCTTTTCCGTGACTTAAACTGCAATGCCGGACTTTTGCACCGCATACGGACTGAACCAGGACTGAACCAGGACTGAACCAGGACTGAACCAGGACTGAACCAGGACTAGACCAGAACCAGACTGGGACTGAGCCCAGGACTTAGACCAGAACCATACCGGGACTGAGGCCGGGACTGAGACCGGGAAAAGACCAGGACTGAGACCGGGACCAGACCAGGACTGAAAACGGTTTAGTCCTGATTCAGTCCTGGTTCAGTCCGTATATGGCGCAATAGTACCACATCACAGTTTAAGTCACAAACACAAAAACGAAAACTGATAAAACTAATCATTCGTTTTTTTATTTTGGTTTTGGAGACAAATTATGAAGAAAATTGTTGTTTTTTTCATTTTCTTATTTTTGGTTTTATATTGAAAAACGAATGAACGAATGATACACAGGTTTTGATGGGCCGTGGTCTTGGACAGGTCTTAGTCTTGATTAGTGCGGTCTTGAGTACAACAGTAGTAGAGGATATGAACTGAGAAAGAAAGTTTGAAAGAAATGTTCCCATTCCCAACACAGAATAATACAGAAACCAAACTGTCGTGTGTTTACAGAAGCGCTTGTATCTCTGCTGCTGTGTCTGGTGAGGAGATGTCCGTCGGTTTGTAACATGAATCACTTCGTGGTGCTGTTGGGAGCCTACGGAGCCTCTCTCAGCACCTTAGGTAAACTCAGTCAAACTCTAATCTTTTATCATTTTTATATTCTTTTGTTTTTGATTAATTTTACATGTGTGTGTTTGCAGATCAAAAGCTCCTGCTGCTTATACAAGAATATGAAAGAAACAACATCAGCCTCTTGAAATTCCAGTAAGTGAATGTTAAATATCATAATAATCTTAAATTCTCTTGCTGAATCACAGGTTTAAAGAGATTTGCTGCACAGTGTATGACTGCAAAATTATATCAACAATAAATAACACTTGTCTAGTGCTTTTCAAGATACTCAGAGATTTAAAGAAGAGACAAACAAGGACAAACAGAAGAAGCAGAAAAAGTTAATGAAAGGTGGTTTTAAAGAGATAAGATTTAGTTTTTAGTAGTTTTTTTAAACATGGTGATCTTGGATGTGTCTCTGTTATGAGTCTCGGTTATTCTTCTTAATGAAATAAATGGAAAAACATACTATTAATTTATAGGGATGTAACGATCTCTCAGTACATTATTATCAAGATATGCATCTCACGGTACGATATTACGATATTTTGGAGTGGTAAATATAATGCTAGATAGGACACTTTTTTTGCTTTTAAAATGCCTTGACAGGATTTTGGTGTGAATTATTACTGTCAGAATCTCAAGAATTCAAGTAAGAAACATGTTTCGTCATGTCGTCTGTGCTGAAATTCATTATGGGAGATGTAGTTCCCAATGTTTATTAGCGCTTCGTACTAAAGAACAATGCATTTAAGCAAAGGAACTTATAATTCGACATATTGTGACAGCTCTCGATATTATTGTGAGACTTCTGATGATACGATATTACGATATTTCAGTTATTGTTACATTCCTATTCATTTATTATTCATCTTATTCAAAAGTATTTCTGAGATAGTGCTGATGATAATGAGGAGGGAGTATATTTTCATGTGTCCTTGACGTCTCCAGGTCGTTTGTGTGGGGACCCGCTGCAGTGGAGCACCATAAGGCCAAGAAGTCCCTGGGCTCGTCCCTGTGGAAGCAGACGAGCACAGAGGAGCTGTTAGCCCTGCTCAGGCCTGACTCCATGCTCCAGACCATCGCCCACTTTCCACAACAACGCAAACTCATACCACAGGTGGGCGCAAGGATGTCTAAATGTTTCAGCCCATTTGGATTTCTGCAACCTTGTCTGCACTAACAGCTTCTTTGTTTTCTTGTTATTTAATGTTTTATTTGGTTCAGGGTAAAAGAAGATGTGACTGACAGAATTATTTAAGCTAGTTAGAATCAGGAATGAGCGATATGTCTGTTCCGGTATCAGTCTTGGCCGTAATCAACTTTTTTTTTTTTCCAATGGATTTTTAATGTTAAATATCGGTATCAGCAAATATCGGTTATTGCCCACAACAGCAGGCCAAATATTGGATATCACAGTGTTCCCATGGTCATGGAAATCCTGGAAAAGTTATGGAAATTGGAAATATAATTTTTCAGGTTTGGAAAAGTCATGGAATTTTGTAAATTTAATGAAAGTTTTAGAAAAGTAATGGAATTTTAGTATTTCTTTCACACAACTACTGTTAAGTTCTCATTAGGCTATTATGATTATTTCTGAATGTATGCACCTTTTGTTTAAAAGAGATGACAATAAATGCACTGACAGGATTTTGAATGATAAAAAATTATAATACCATACCATGAGGAGAGGGGAAAGGGTTAACATTTCATATTTAGTTCTAAAAGTCTGATCAATTCTACACATGTAGGGTACTGTAAAGTCATGGAAAATTCACTTTAGGTCATGAAAAGGTCATGGTATAAGTTTCGAAATTTTGTCAGTGAAAAAGAGTGGGAACCCTGATATCAGTATCAGTTAAAAAAGAAAAATCCTTATCTGTCCAACCCTAGTTAGAATAATTGATTTTAGTTACGTTTTTAAACAGAAATTCTGTAATATAAGATGGTCATATGACAACTTATCATTTGTCACAAGTATTTACCTAAGTGGGGGAAACATTTGATGCAGCAATAGTTTCAAAAAAGATAAACTACAATTTAGCAATAATACAAAACTTAAAATGTACAGATGCTCACACACTCTTTTCCTCTTTTAGAATGAGGAGCCACTTTTCCCTACAGACGACATGAAGGACCCTCAGAATGTTTACGACCCTCGCTTTCTCCTGCCTCTCTTTAGTGCCATTTTGAGACCAGGTAACATCTCCCTGCCTGTTTACATATGACTCTCAAATAAAAACTGTTACAATATTTTCATTCATTTTCATAGAGTCTGTGGTGGACTGCCTGAAGTTTGTGTCCTGCCACGCTCTGGGCTTCACTGTGATGTCGTTGAGCAGCTATGACCCCAAAATGAGAGCCGGAGCCTACCATGTGCTCACCTGCTTCTACCAACACCTGGAGGGAGCTCGCTTCAGAGAAAAGAAACAGGTATGTAAATAAAGGGAGCTCTGTGCCAGTCCTATGGTCAACCTGCAGTCTTCCCAACTCTCAGTAGCCTGGCCTGGGCTCTCCCCCGAGCAATAAATGGGCCAGAACCGAAGGAAGTCCATTATGATAGGCAACTTGAGTTATTTTTCAGAAAGCCTTGTAAAATGAGGTGTTCTGGTATGGCATGCAAGCTACAGTTACAGTTGTGCTACTTTAAAATATACATTAAAGTTTCCATAAAAATGACAGTATTGCTACTGTAAAATATTACAGTAAGGTTACTGTAAAAATTAAGATTGTATATATGATGTGCAGTCTGTGTCAGTGTGATAATATCCCAATGACCTCAATACTCAGGTTGGCATCAGAATAAAAGAAGTCTTCATTTATCGTCCTTATTTTATTGGTGCAGTTGTTTCCATCTAAAACTACATATGCTTGGAATTGTATGTCATAACAAATGGTACTATTATAAGTTATCAGCAATGGTTCAGTTTTGGTGTTTGATGTTTCATTACAGAGATATTAACAGTAGAATTCTGGCTTAGCCTATTTCCATATCATGAGAAATAGAGAAAAATCAAATAATCGGTCTATTCACAAAACTTTTTATTAACAGTTTATAGCCTTTATTAACTATAAATGTTATAAATTGGTCTGTAAACTGGTGCAAAGTTGTTGTCTCATGCGTGTCTCACACAGCTGCTGTATTTGGTGGACATCCTGAAGAACAGTGTCCGGCAGCAGAATCAGAGGCTCCCGTTCATCCTGACCACGTACGTCTCCAAAGCCCTGCAGCAGATGCTCAAACCAGGTGTGTGTCTAACCAACCATACAAACACTACATGTGATTTAAAGGGCTCATATTACTCTGTTTCCTCACATCATCAGAAACAGACCTGGAGTTGCATTTTGTTTCTTTCATATGTTTAACACTCAAACCCTGCAGATTTAGGTTCTCAGGTTTAGTTCTTCTCTCAAACTGAAAACATTCTGTTCAGATGCAGACAGTCTAATAATAAAGGATTACTCAAAACATGTGAATGAAACAAAACACTACTATGTCTGTTTTTGAGGAAGTAGAAACATAACAACAATCATTTTAGTTTAATATAAGACTTTTAATAATATGGAAATGTTGGCTGTTTATATTGGAATGATAAGAGTAAGTTAAAGTTAATACCTGTAACTTTTTGAGTCCCTGTTGATAGTAGATTGTAGATTTGATTGAATTTGGAATATTCTTGCCTATAGAACAAATACTTTTTTTTTTTTTTACTTCGAGTATAGCAGCATTGTCTTTTTTATTTTAGATAAAGAAAAAAAAAATACTTTGATTAATTTCATTGGTTTGTCCTATTTTAAGTCAAAATTTACTTACATCTACATGAATACCACAGAGTTCTCTCAGAGTTGTCGCTCTGGATTAATTTAAAAAGTGGTTTTAGTCATAGGACCTGCCAACCCAGAGTAACGAGCTCATTCTGCTTTCTGATATAATGAGCTCGAGACAAATGAAACAGAAAACACACACCAACGTTATAAAAAAAAAAAGCAAGAAAAATATCTGATGAAGGCTTTTTTGACAAAATGTTTTTTTAAATTTTTAAAAAAGCTTTTGGACATCGGCCATCTGTGCATTTTTATAATGAGCTGGAGAATCAAAACACAAAATGTAAACTTAAAGAACTTTTACAAGACTGTTTGCATAACTTTCTTTCAAAGTTATGCCAACTTCTCAACACAGATCGCCTAAAGATCTGTCCCATATATGCATCTATTTTGGTGTAGATCTATTTAAATATAGAACAAAGATTATTTATTTACATTTTGGCAAAGTTTTCTTAATGTCTAATCTTTCTGTCCTGCTTTCTGTTTGTGCAGAGGACCACATGTACATGGTTTTAAATAGATTCCTGTTGTCTCACCAAAGTCTGGATTTCAGAAGGGTCCCGGAGTTTTTCAAACTCTTTTACGGCTTTGACCTGGAGGTAAGGTTATATAAGCTGTTGGTGTTTCCTGATCTGAAGGTTGTGTGTTTGTCCCTGAGAGAGGCAGTGGTGGATGAAGTACTCTGTTTTGTTACTTAAGTAAAAGTACAGATGCAGGGACAAAATATTACTCAAGCAAAAGAATTACATGAAAAATATACTTAAGTAAAAGATTTAAAGTACCTGTTTAAAATTTTACTTTAAGAGTAAAAAGTATTTTGCATAGATTTTTGGAACATTAAAGTAGTAATTTTGATAAATAATAATAATTTAGCTGATTTTAAGTGATTCAAATTATTTCTTAATTTCTCTAGCTGTTTTTATGTTATTTGATTAGCTCAAAGTTGGGATGTGAACTAAAATTAGTTAGTCTCAGTCTTTTCAGTACTTCTTACTTTTCAGTCCTGATCTAAAATGTATTGGAGTAGAAAGTACAGATATCTGCTCTCAAATGTAGTGAAGTAAAAGTAAAACGTTATCCTCGTTAATACCCAAAATTGTACTTATAAGTATTATTATTTTTTATTTTTTGTATTTGGTTACCTTCCACCACTGGAGAGAGGAGCACAAACCTTCAGTTGTGTTTATGTTTTCTGATAAAAGCCTCGTGGTGCTTTTTTTTTTAACAGCACAAACTGGAGCGAGACTGGATCCTGAGTGTCCTGGAGGAGGGCATAAGTGATCGATTCTGTTATGAACTGTGTGAACAACAGGGAGTCTTCCAGAGTCTGCTGGGCTTTTGCAGCTCACCCCTGTGTGATGATGCCACGCAGGTATTTTTACACACCATTTCAAGTAGTTCACCAAAGACTTTCTGCACATACACATAAGTATAGCTGAAATAATCAACTGGAATAATAATCAGTGGCTATTTTAACCTGCCAACACTACTTTGCATTTACTGTAGTGCAATTTTTCAAATCCTATCAATATTACAAATAAGACAATGTTTAATATTTCAAATAATAAATCACAAAAAAATATGAAAAATAAAATAAAATTTAAATTCAGTCAATCAATCAAACTTTATTTATAGATAGAGTGCTTTTCATACAAAAGCTAAGCTAAACAGTTTGGTCTTGAGATTACTATCTGTGACAGAATTATCTTTTTTACAACTATCTGGAATCTGGGACACTAACTATTCAGGAACCAGTACATAAAGAAAAAAGAAATGTATTTGTTTAACCATTAAAGTCCTTAATTTCAACAGATTTTAGTCAATAAATTTGTACCTTGCCTAGTTAGAAAATACATATAGTCAACTACTAAACTTATTTTACTGAATTGCTATGTTGTTGTAATATCTGCTGCTGTTTCTGCTCTAAAAAAAGACCCAGATCCTTCGGGTGTTATGTCACGCTGCCAAAGTGACACAAGCCGCATATAACCTCACCAAAAGCTGTGGACTGCTCAGCTGGATCATACAGCTACTGGATAAACGGTGAGTCATATTGGTTAATCTCATTTTTTTAAATATTTGATTTTATTCTGTCTAAACGAAATAAATATAAAATGATACAAATTGTCACATTTCTTCTTCCAAAGTCTTCCCTCTGCTGCAGTTCACAGGCTTTTACAGACAACTCTCTCCAGACCTTTCAATTAAAAAGTCCATTAGAAATTAATTTGACCTCAATTAAAACTCCATTAACTGCACAGACTTGCCTTGTACCTTTTTCAGAAAACTGGACCAACAGCTGCTGGGTGCCATTATCGAGCTGGTCCATGCCCTGTGGCAGACAAACTTGGGGCAGAAGGAGGCACAGCTGGACAGGCTGAAGTCTGTGCCCCCTGAGGAGAAGCCAGCGAAGACCGTGAAGTGTTTGCCCCTCCACCTCACCTGCGAGTTTGTCTGCGTGGCATCCACCATCACCAAACACCTCAGGTAAACTGGCACGAATTATGACATTAACTAAATGTTTTCTTTAGCTCAGGTAATTTTTAAAATTTTTTATATCCAACATAATCCAAAGAAATATGTGCTATACATTCTTATTTGTAAACTTAACTTGACTTTATTTAAAAAAAATTATAAATGAAGAAACATTTTTTGTAAATATATCACTTTTAAACAGTGGCCACAGTTTTGATAAATGTGTATATGTTATCTTTCAGGTTGGGTGTGAAGGCCAGCCACTTCCACATGTTCCTCCAGACCTACTGCTCTGTGCTTAAACATTACCGGGCCTCCTTGGACATGAGCGCACAGGCAGAGCGCTTCACCCTCCTCCCAGAGCCTCTGTCCTCCTCTGAAGCTCTGAACCTGCTCCTGTGCTGGGCCTCACTGCACCGTGACCCCCTGCTCCTAAACCACATCCACAGTGTGTGCCAAAAACACCAACTCAAACTACTGACAAGTGAGTCCTGTAGACCTATTATAATTTTGTTTTATTTATCATTTATTTATTGTTTATTTGAATAGGGACAGATACACAAACATAGACTAACAATTCGGTAAACTCAGTTCAGTTCACATTTCACTTAATTTAAAGTGCGTATGACAGGTTGGACCACTCATTTTACTAAAACACAGTTAAGATCATTATATATATAGTCATTAATAAGGATGGGACGAGACAAAATTTTCACAAGATGAGAACAAGTCCAGAACAAAACAAGATGAGATTCAAACATAAATTTTAAATAATATAATATACATTTCATGGTTCAGTTGAGAATCCTGCACGGGTCCATTTTTGGAGACCCACACCCATCCGCACCCGCGCAGTACAGCACCACACCCGCCCTTAAACCCGTGATTATATTAAAGTTAAATCCGACCTGTTAACATAACATAAATATATACACGCTGTAACCGTCAAGCCGATCACCATGACTAAACCAGGTCTAAACCAGGTCTACACCAGGTCTAAACCAGGAGCGCAGTCGTCGAGCCGATCACCTCCGCTGATGGTTTCTTGTAATAAATACACTCTCAGCCTGGTCTGCCATAGTTTTAGGAAAAGACCGGGAAATGGCACTTGTTTCCAGGGCAAAGGACGTCCTGGGCACTCGTCAAGTATTTTTCTCACGTTCGTTGTTCATTAGATTCACCTGACCTGCCCGTGTGTAATCACTACCCGCACATAAAATTCAAGAACGTTAAAACCTGCCCGTTTCAGCAACCCGCGGATACACGACCCGGTGCAGGACTCTGGTTCAGTTTCTAATTTTGGCCTCACAGTTTTGTTATTTATTTCATTTCATAGTTTTGTTTTCATTCTCGTAGGCTACTGCTTTTTGGAACTGTAATAGTTGTAACTGAACAACATCTAACCTGTTTTTGTCCAATCTAAATGTAAACACAAAAAAAAAATCTCAAGAGGATTTTTTTCTCTTGTGAGCACGATCTTGTGGTCACCAACTTGTCAAAGATCTAAATTGCACTTTGAAATTAAAATGCCTGGAAGTTCAGTGCTTTAATCCCACACAAAAAATGGATATGCAATGGCTATGATTTGAATTTTTGATATTAGACTATAAACTGTGTGTGCGAAGTGTGATAAATTTCTTAACGCACTGCACCATCTGTCTGTAAAATCATTTCCTAAATCCCAACAATTCCTCTTCTCTTTCCATAGGCACAGCTAAAGACAAAACCCGCGTTAAAGCTTTTGGCTCCCAGTCTCGCCCAAAGAAGGATCTGCCAACTTGTGAGACCATCCCAGAGAAAACAGAGGACCACCCCCTCCCAACCCAGACCCCACTGCCCCTGTGCACCGTCCTCTGTCACTGGACCCCCGTGTTTTCCCTTCCCCAAGGCCAAATAACACAACCAGCAGACAAAATGGAGCCCAGCGCTTTAACCACGGATACAGCGCTGTTGCTTACTAAATGGTTGCTGGGGAGTCTTCTGGAGAGCTCAAATACTCAGAAAATAACCAAAGACTTCTTGCACTGGCTGGAAACCGCAGTAGTTGGACACACGCAGATAGTCGATGGTTTGATGCTTGATACACAGTCAAAAGCAGATCTCCTCAGACTGTATCACCAAGTATTCGAGTCTCAAAGTTCTAACGCAGAAATAGGTGTTTTGAAATTGTTTACTAAGATCATGAAGTGTTTGCTGGAAAGCCAAGGCCAGCTCCCAGCGATGCACCAAGCGGTAGTGTCCTCGTGTCTGCCAGAAGAGGAGACTCAGCGGTCCAGAGATGGTAAGGAGCTTTCTGTCCTGGTGGGAAACTTTTGAAAGCTACCGGACTTACTTTGCAGCATATGAGTAAACTGGCTGATAATAATTAAAGGTGCACCGTGTAACTTTTCTGGTTGAAAACATGCCATCTCCTTGTTAATTTCAATTACAGGTGTTCGTTTTCCTAACAGATCTGACCTGTATCTTGCCTGGTGTCGTCATCAGCTTGTCTCTTTGGCAATTAAAAGTATCTATCTGAAAAGTGCTTTAATTAACATATGGCATAATTAAACAAGGTTCCCACGGTCATGGAAATCTTAGAAAAGTCGTGGAAATTGAAAAAGTCATGGAATTTTAGTATCTCTTTCACGCAACTACAGCGTTCTGTTAAGTTATCATTAGGCTATTATGATTATTTCTGAACATATTCGCCTTTTGTTTCATAGAGATGACAATAAATGCCCTGACGGTATTTTGAATGTTAAAAAACTATAAAACCAAACCATAAGGTGAGTGGAAAGGGTTAACATTTCATATTTAGCACTAAAAGTATGATCAAGTCATGGAAAATTCACTTTAGGTCATGAAAAAGTCATGGAAAAGTTTTGAAATTTTGGGCCTGTTTACATGAGAACACCTGCAGGTAAAAACGACAAAATATTTTATTGGAAGTGTCTTTTGTTTAGACGGTGATGGTGTTTTTGGGGCTTAAAAACACAAAAATCTGAAACCACCCTCCAGAGTGGAAAAGTTGAATACACTCCGCCGTAGCGTTTCCATCTACCCTGCCCAAGACGCAAAACTCTGGTCAGATCTGCTCACGTCACGTACATGTTTAAGACACGATGCCACTTTTGCATCTTCTGTTCAGACCGTCATCATATAAACGTAGCCTTTGTCAATGAAAAAGAGGAACCCTGATTAAAGCAGTTTTGAGATAAAACATATTGGTATAGCCAATTTAAGATAATCAATTAATAACTGTTTAATAACATAACATATTATTCATAAGTAAGTGCTTTAATAATAATAATTAATGGATAGGAATAACAATTGGCATGACAACAATTAAACTAAAACTTTATTATATGTTTTTCTTTACTAAACTAAAATCAAATGAGGTGTTATCAGAAAATGAAAAAGTATGTACATGATATACTCTCAAATCATCATATAGTCATTTTGGTATTTTTTTTAGATGCTGGGCTGTTCCTGTCCTCCCTTTACATCCATGAGCTGTGGTGTGGGGTCACATCTGCTGATCTGTTCATGACCCACATCCGTCTGGTGACCAAAAACACGCCCAAGAACAAGAAGAGCTCCGTATCGTCAGAGTCCTCTGTGAGAGACATCTGTAATGAAATCATAACATCAACAAAATAACACATCCACAAGGACTTTCCAACAACATTCACGGTCTTAATTGTACGTTTTATTTTGTACATTTACAGCACCATATTTTTTACTGTGAATATGTGTTTAACTGTGGTGATTTATGTATTATACTAAATGAACTTTTTGGAGCTTTATACTATGTTATAATGTTTCTTAATTAAAAACATGCCTGAAGAGCAATTCAGTGATCTTTGAGTAATTTATTCTATTCTAATCTATTCAAACGCTCCTTATGGTTGTAAGATTCTTTCCAAGGTTAAATATACCAAAGTAAGATACAAAAACATTACACTACGGACGAGATGTGCAGTTGTTTCGTTAGTCGGATGCACGCTGATTGTGTTATGATGGCACTCTGAAAGGGGAATTAATTTGCTGTTTTGGTGAATATAGCATTTTCAAAACAATAAAAGGTAACACGGTGATATAAATATGTTATGTGTTTGCAATTAATACATAATTGCAATACATAAAGAGATTTACTTGGAAGTGCGTCATAAAATAATGGTCATCCATGGTCAGGAAAAGTCCCTCTGTTTTGACTGTGATTACTTCTGAAAATAAAACACAATTATTTAGCCTGTATAGTTTCTGAAAATGAATTCGACTTTGAATGAATGAAGGAAATGAATTTTACTTACTTTGCTATGGTTCCAATTCGAGATAGTAGGTTCAAGCTTACAAAGAGAAATCCCACAAATGCAGCCAGAAAGATCCAAAAGATGATAACAATTAGGTCTGGAAAAAATAGAATAAGTTTAAAAATAAAGATATGACAAAATGTTTCTGAAAACCATTCTTACATTTGTTGTATGTGAGTTTGGTTTGGTCCACTATCACTGGGTCTACATAATCATAATAATACTCCCATTCAGTTGTAGAGTTCTCCATCAGAAAACTGTATGGTGTGTTGTCTTCTGGGATTCTGCTTGAAATGATGAGAAAAGCAGACGGTCTCCTCCAGTACTCCACACAAATGAAGTGAGCCAAGAGCCCAGGAGTGTTGGGACCACACACTGATAGATCCAGGCCATGCACTTGCACTAGTCAGTGTGCTGTAGTGAATGTCTTTGGCCACTAGGCCGCAGGATCAGACAAAAAAAGGATGATGTGGGAATTTTTTTATTTTATTTTTTCTTTTTACACAATATATTTTATTATTCCCATTTTCTTATATATTTCCACAATACAAGCCAGATATTTGATTAATTTACGAAAATAAAAATGTTGTTTTTCGGACGTAAAGTTTCTACGTTATCCACGTGACGCCACGCAAATAGACGTAAACCCTGAGGTCCGTGCGAGAACGCAGTTTTTTATCGTTAGCTTCAAAAATATCGATTCAGTGATTCTTTTTGGTCACGTTTTACTCCTAATTATGATTTAGAGAAGTACTGGGCGTTATTATACATCAAAGAACGACTTTTTATTTGAGCACAAGCCAAGATGGACGCTGTAAACGCGTTTAACGCGGAGGTAAATATGTTTTTATCTTTAGCTTAGCCTTTAGCTTTAGCTCTGCCACACCTCACACATCTGTGACATTTTCTCTGAATGTGTCGCTCTGGACATTTGTGAACTTGTTATGAAACCTGATATCAAGCATTGACCTCTGTTTTTATGACGTGTACTAAATCTAAAAATAAAGCATGAAAAGTATCAAGCTAACGTCAAGATCGAAACTGTAGTTTAGGCCTCGAGCCGTGGTTCTGCAGCGCTCCTGCGACCTGGGCCTGAGTCCACTCACTCACCGACTCTTATCATCTTTAAACTGTTATTTTATGTGAAGAGCAAAGGCTTTTAATGTATCAACTATGACCCTAAAGTTACTGGAGGACTGATGTCACATATTTTAGTGTCCGGGGAACATGTGGTGACTTCAGCCTGGAGATCTCCGTCTCATGGCTCTTGGTTAGGGGAGTAAACATGGACTGTATGTAACTGTTTGTAGATTTATGCATATTATTTATGTATTATGTATGTATATTGTTATACAGTTTATGGGAGTTAACATGAACAGAGCTCGAGCAGATCGTGGCTCAGGGTCGAACGTCAAAAACTTTAGTTTTGGTGCAAAAGTCCACAGAGCTGCATTGGACAAGAAACGTGACTACAGAGCCGTGAAACAACTCGATCACTACTGTAATTTAGGACTGCACAATCTCCAAAATATCGTAATGTTAGCTTTGCAATTATCCCAAAGACATAATTATGTTGCAACAGCATAAGGCTCCTCTTTTAATAGAAATGTACTTTTTTGAAATAAATATTGACAAAAAGGTAGATTGTATTCATGATTTTCCTCATTAGGTCCTACATTACATTTTCGGTTGATCTTGGTTTAGTTTTAAGTTTTTACTTTTACAGTTTGACTAGTAAATGAAAGCATGTACATTTTATTTATTTAACTAAAATACATTTAGGCTATTGTGTCAGAAATTTCAGAATACTTTTGAATGAACAGTAGTTTAGCAGTAAGTAGATTATGGCGACACAATACCATAAACAAGGTGTTTCATTGTACACTGGTGCTAGAATGTGTATATTTTTTCCCAAACAAATTTCATATGACATTATTTGATTCAAGCTGGGATTTGTTCCTTTTCTTCAGCTTTTCTCCATGATCGACATGAAGCCTCCCATATCCAGGGCAAAGATGATGTCTGTGACTAAGTCTGCCATCAAAGCTATAAAGGTACGTGCTTATGTTTACTGTAGTCTGACTTCTGACAGGACTGTGTTAGAAATGCAACAGACCCATCACACTTCTGTGTGTCTGCTGCAAATGGTGTGAAGTCACTCAGGAGAGATGCTCAGTTCTCCACACCAGTCACTTTCACTTTGTGATGTTGTAGACAAATATGTGAAATTTGCATCTCCCTAAGGTGGTGGTAGGCGGGGCTGTCACCAACTAAAGGGTGGGCATGGGGGGCATGGCAAAAGCTCTCAGCTATTTCGGGTTCCTGTGTATCTGACCCAAACTGCATTCGTCAGACTCCACCTGCCGGACAAATACAACTGTTTCAACAGAAAAGTACAAGGATAGAGAGTAATTGTATGGGGAAAAAGGCAGATTAAGCACAAGCAAATACACAAGCTCTTCAGCTAATCCACTCCCTTCCTTTCTACTGCTGTGTTTATGATTCTTTATAATTGAAATAATAAAAGCTAAATGATTGCCACTCTAGTGTTCAGGGGCTGTTTACTTCTTACTAGTCAAATATCCTGACATTTATAGACTTTTATGTATATGTTGCTATAGAAGTATCTTATGTTGGTTTAGTTCTGTTGTGGCTTTTCAGTTTATTCTAAAGATGTGTATAGCTTGGGACCAGGATGTAAAAGTTTATTTATGTAACATATTTGTTACATAAATAATTTGTTATTTGCTGCAGGAGGGTTATTGTGATTTGTGCTGTCAGAAACTAATGTCTAAAGTTGCATTCTCTTTTGGGATGTATCAATAATTAGAGCTGTAGTACTGTTCACTGTCAAATCACATTTGCTTTTTGAATTGATCAAATTTCACAAATCTCTCCCCGCTGGTCCCTCTACAAACAGGTTCTGGATCTTTTGTGATTCTTGCAGTGGTTTAGAAATTGGCATTTCAATCATACATTCATTTGTGTATTTATTGATCAAATATTTATATTGCAGAAATCTCAGGGCTACTCAAATTTGGAAAAAAATATTTTGTTGAAAATTGCATTATATTTAATAAATTGATGATAATTATGTGGAGATGGTGAAAGAAACAAAAGTTCATTCAGCTGTATTTAGATGTACCTTAGTTCATTCTGATATTACCAACCTAAACCTCCGACCTCTGCGATTATCTGAACAGAGACTCCTCACACTCTCCAGGATAAATCCATGTTCAGTTTACAGAGCGTTCAAGTGGGAGAGGGGTCTGTACTTTGGTTCCAAAGTAACTGAACTACGGACTGCACCCACTACTGCTAATAAACATATAACAATATACTGAAGGCAATCACAACTGAACTTGAGTTTCTAGAGCCTTAACCTGCAGATAGACCAGAGATTTTATGGACATGCCTCATGTGAAAGCTCAGAACCTCCAGGATTCCCTCACTGAGCTGCAGAGGCTGCACTAACACTGATTTGATGATAATGGGAGCACCTGTTTCGAGCGTTCTCGGACTGAGCTTTTACTCCGAATCATAATGTCCCTGTCAGGCCCAAGCACACCGATGTTTACATCAACCTAACTAAGTGATAATGTGTCAACATGTTTACAGAGACATGGATGGGTCATGTTTATGGAATTTAAATTCAAGCTACATTTCCTTCATGCACCTTAAATGTGATCTAGAAATCACAGAACTTAAACCTGAAATCTGAAATCACAGAACTTAACCCTGAACCAATCTGAAATCTTAGTTTTGTGGCAACAGTAATTGTGATGGAAGGACTTAAGAGATATCGTGCAGTTGTTCTTGGCCACCAACTGGCAAATGTTTGTTTAGCAAAGAAGGCGGCAGTTTGTGTTGATGATTTTAAACTCCTGGTACCAGTACCTCAGTGGTACGTTTTCTATGTTAATCACTAGAACAATAAAATTTTGTTTAATTATATTTTAAATACCATTTTATAGGTGAATAAACAGTTTTCATCATTCATTTGTGGTCACACTGCTCAGTCTCTTTCTATAGTATTTTCTCTGCACCCAGCCACACCACACTGGTCCCTGGTATCCACTTTCCAGTCATAAATGTCCTTTATGTACTTGGTATAGTGACTTTTGAAAGAACATTTGATGGACAAAGCTTTCCATTGCTAATAAATAAAGTTTTTTGTTTTTTTTCCTAGCTGTACAAACACGTTGTCCAGCTCGTGGAGAAGTTTGTAAAAAAGGTTTGTAACAAACACATTTGTGGATCAGTAATGCTTGTATTAGATGTAGTTTATGACTTTTAATAACAAGTGTCTGTTTGCAGTGTAAGCCTGAACTGAAGGTCCCAGGCCTGTATGTGGTGGACTCCATCGTGCGTCAGTCCAGACATCAGTTTGGAGTGGACAAAGACGTCTTTGGGCCCAGATTCCTCAAGAACTTCACTGAGACCTTCCACAACCTCTACAGTTGCCCTGAAGAGGACAAGGTACTGTGTGTGAAGAACTCTCTTTTTGTTCTAAAAATTCTTTTTAAAAACATAATTTTTCTTTTCCAGACCAAAATCCTGCGTGTCCTAAACCTGTGGCAGAAGAACGGTGTATTTGACATGGACATCATCCAGCCCCTCATGGACATGGCTCATGGGCCTGTAACACCAGCTTCTACAGAAGGTGAACATCTGCTGTCAGTGATATAGTCCAGTGTGACTCGTGACTAATGGGGCTCTTCCCCAATATATATGAATATTTCTCTAAATGTTATAGTGAACAGTTTTGTATATAAAATGCCTCAGTCGTCCAGGTAGAATCCATTGAAAAAAGGAGAAATTCAATTTGTCAACTGAACAAAAGTTTATTTGTTCGAAAAGGTTTCGCAGTTCATCCAAGCTGCTTTTTCAGTAATGGTCAAAATGCAGGTGGACGCTTCCTTATATCTGTCTGAAGGGAGGAGCTAACTACAATGAAACTAATTTGAAACTAACACACCTACTTGTTTGCAGTTGTTGTTATTGTTCAGTCACTGAACTGTTTTCTTTTCTTTTTGTCCTTTTAAATAAAATATTTTTCGTGTCCAGATTTCCCATCTGTGAACACAGAGCCACACATAAACGCTGTGCCTGCTGCCCCAGCTGTGCCCGCGGAGCCTGCCATTTCCAACATGGAGGCTCTGGCTGCTATGGCCCAGCTCTTCCAGTCTCCTCAGGGCCAGGAGGTGAGGCACCTCTCAGAGCTGTGACTAAACGTTTTTGATCAAAGCAACATTATAATTGTGAACTGGATCTTGAAGTTACAGAGAGTTCTCCAGAATCTGCAGCAGGGCAATGAGACCCTGGCAGCCGCCATCGAAAACAACTTGGCAAACCAAGCTCAGATGTCTGCTGCTCATCCCAGCGCTTACATCTCTCACACCAACAATAACAACACCTTTGCTGAGGTAAATCCAGACATGATCTGATGTTTCCACGTGTTTGTGTGTCATTCACATAATAACTTGTGTACTGTGTTTAGAAGCTACTAGACCGCTTTGAATATGAGGATGAACCAGAGGAGAAAGCAGCCCGAGAAGACCATGCTCAGCTCTTGTGAGTTCTTTTGTCTAAATGAAATATGTAACCACCACATTCTCTGAGTCTGTTTTTTCCCCTTTACAGAAGCATAGCTGAAAATGTCCTCAAACAATTCGCTGGACAGTTGCCCAACACACAGGAAGTTCAGCCACATCTGAGGGTCCCGGTATGCACTTTAAATAAACTTCATATTTTCATTGTGTGCATCGCTAAACAAAATAGCATTACTTATCTATAGTGCCTTTTAATGCACTTTCCCCACAGCATGATGGGAATGTATTAAACCAGGAAATGATGCATCCAGTGCCTGACGCGTACAACTCTGTAAACGAGCCCTACACACGGGTAAAGCACACTCCTCTCTTCAGATTCACACATGTGTCAGTCTGAGTCATGTAACCATTTGTTTGTTATTCTCTCAGGAGCCTCTCAGAGACGACTCCCCTGTGAGGAGAGACGGCAGACACAGGAGCTACGGGAGGAGATCCAGGTCTCGCTCCAGGTAAATCTGCTTCACGGTGGTAACTTAGTAAAATGGGATTCAACAGGATTTGCTTAATTTGGACATTTTATTTTCTAAAAATCTTGTCAAGGTGATATAACTGCCTTTTATAATTTCTTGGGTTCACAATCCAGATGTTGTGCTGCAGTCCACATCTCAGTATGGCAGAGCAAAATTTATGAATGATCTTTCTGGCTTGAAGCTGAATATTTCGGTGTAATTTAAGTGCTTTGGAACAAAACATGAATAAAAAATAACAGCTCAGTGGTTAGAGCAGTGGCTGGATTGATTTCCCGCTCAGACCAAGTTCTGTCGTCATGTCTTTAGGCAAGACACTTCACCTGCATTGCCTTCCGCCAGTCTGCCCCAGGGCAGCTGTGGCTACAGTAGCATCTTAGGGTCACACAGTGTTTAGTGCTTTGAGAGTCTCTGACAAGCCTGTAAAGGGCATTACAAATGTACGGCATTAATCCCTTCTGCTTTTTGCATCACGTCTGGAATGTCTCTAGGCTTCAATGTACATTTACAGCGTTGAGTATTTTTTTTATTGGCGATCTCTCACTAGTTTGCCTTGTGCTTCAGGTCTCCCCACAGGAGGCACTCTCGGTCATCCTCTCGCTCCAGAAGGTCCAGACACAGACACACTCGGTCCCGGTCCAGAGAGCGCCACAGGAGGTCTCGCTCTATGGAGCGCAGTGAGAGAGAGAGGGAGAGAGAGCGCAGACAGAGAGGCCTCCCCGCCATCAAACCAGAGACTCTCAGTGGTAAGGCACATTCAGCTCAGGCACACTGTGGTGTGTGTGACTGGGGGGATACAGGGGAGACAAGGTCTTCCTATGGCATTGCCATGGTGTGAATATGCGGCGTAGTTGAAATGTGGAATCTCATTTCCAGAGAAACTTGGCCACAGAGGGGCTTTCTTAGTGTCTTTTTTTAAAATAAAACTGAGTGCAGCACAGCACAAATAAAGAAAATGTTCTGATGTTGGCCTGTTCTAACATTGTTTTGGTCCTTTATGTAGTTTGCAGCACGACACTTTGGGTGGGTCAGCTGGACAAAAAGACTCAGCAGGCTGATATCATGCTGCTCCTGGAAGACTTTGGCCAGATTGAGTCTGTAAATGTAAGCACTACACACTTTGTATTAAAGGCTCTAGATAATATGTCATTAACATAAAGAATTTTCATTTTCTTAATAGATGATTCCTCCAAGAGGCTGTGCTTACATCGTCATGATTCATAGACAAGACGCCAACACAGCCTTGAACAAGCTCAGCCGTGGATCATTTCGAGTCAATCAGAAGCCATTTAAGGTATGGAGTGTTTGACTTTGCCCCTTCAGCCTGGTATAACTGTGACACTGACCGTTGCTGTTCACAGATCGCCTGGGCTCTGAACAAAGGCATTAAATCTGCACATAAAAAGTTCTGGGATGTGGAGCACGGTGTCACCTACATCCCCTGGAGTAAAGTTAAAATGGAGGAGCTGGAGAGCTACAGAGAAGGAGGCATAATTGATGCAGACACTGTCAATCCAGGTAAGCTCCTCCTCACAAGGCTGTCTTTCTTTTCACTAGGTGTCTGTCTGTACCACACTCCGTGTGTCTGTGTGTATTTCTGCCCTTCTCTTGTGTATAAATGACGTTTATACTGTTGTTCTTTTTACAGCGTGGGGGCTCACAGAGGAGTTCTTGAACCATCAGAGACAGGCAGGCGCAGCTGTTCAGAGCTCAGTGAGTGAAGGAGCAGCCTCTGGTTCAGTTCAGGTAAACTTGGTCTTTTTGCACCTCTGCTCACCGGTGGTTTTTACTGCTAAACTCCTACACAGTGTTACGTATGGGCTTTGGAGCTTTTCAGGTTTGAATAAACATTGTTTTAGGTCTTTCCTGTGTTCTATTATACATTTGCGTGCAGCTCTGGTAGGAAAGTGCAAAACCCTTTTGATGCTGTTGATTTAAGATGTGGTTCGTCTGAACTATTCACATTAGTGTGACTTTACACTGTGGCTGTGAGGTCTGTAACATGTCTCCAGCTCTCACCAGAAAGCCCAGAGTCTGACTTTAAGAGAGTCAGCTGTGCCCTGTGCAGAGTAGAACAGAGACAGAATCAGAAGCATATATGGTTTGCCACTACATGGTTATACATGGAGCCTAGTGGCTGCACTGCTGGGTTTTGGACATCAGCTCCTCCTTCCACCACACACAGTCTTACACCACTTACACTAACGTTCTAGTCATAGAAATATTTGCAGCAGAACCAATAATAATCTCACAGAGGAGAAAGAAGGCTGTGACTCTAAAGTGAAATATATACAGGCTTTGCTCTGAAAGATAAAGGAATATTTACATTTAATGGAATGGAAACCCAAAATGACAGAGTATTGTTACGAGCGTCATGCATCATTGAGCACAGCCTATTGAAAACATTTTTTGTACATCTCCAGTCGAGCACATTATGGCCTCTCATACACATCAGTGTGATGCAGGAGAGATGAAATGTTTAGAATGTTTAACTACTGTGAGCTCAGTACAGCTTCTGTTATCCTCTGTTAGCCTGACTGTAGTAGCACTGCAGTACCCTGTGCTGGCCACTAAATCAAACTGGCACCAGCTTAGAGCAGGGAAAATATCCAATGGACCCCCTACTGACCTCACAATATATTTATACAGAACCAAAATGAAGAGAAAATTAGAAATATTTTGTCTTTCATAGATTTTGGGAAAATTTCAGTGCCCTAGTTTAAGTGATGAGTGTAAGTAATGATTGAGTAGAGAGTAGGTGACTTGAGTGATGATTCAAACGTGGACAGCTCCTCTGCTGGTATGTGCAGTTCACTGCTCATGCATGCGACTATTTGTCCTAAAAATGTTTTCTTCTGACTTGACTCATGTGGAGGTTATGACTGTGCAATAAAAGTGGTGCTGTGAAAAAGTTAACACTGTCATGTGTGACCAGTGCTGCTTTTAGCATGGTATTTTATGACATATTTAAGATTCATAACTGTAAATTTAAAACACTATTCTAATTTAAACAAGCTTTTGATGTCGGAAGGTTTATTTTTGATTCTGAGGAATGGGACTATAAAATCTCCATGAAAAATGTTGGGGTTTTGATCTAAAAAAAAAAAAAAAAAAAAAAAAAAAGGAAACAAAGTGTGTGTGATATCGAAGTCTTCAGGTGGCAAATGTGTGGCTTCAGGTCATTCTAAGTATCAATTAATATTATAACATCTAAATGTGCTTTATTACTTACTTTCTTAGATGAGTGGATCATTATAAAACTATACCCTGCAGCTCAGGTTTGATCAAACCTAGAAAATATTACAGAATAACTGATATATTGGACAAATATCAGCACTTTTTTGCATCCATCAGCCAAAAAAACATACGTGGTGCTTTTGATGTGCTGCATTAACTTGAGCCCATGACAAGATAAAACTACAGTGCTCTCTCATAGGTTTACAGGTTTTGCACTAAGACAGGGCTGTGGGTCTATAAAAATAATCTTTCTAAAAAATAAAAATGTTTATTAAACTGTCATTATATAGATCAGTGTGCTGTAATAACAGAACTGAGTTTATAGTTATTAGTCATTAGTTACACATCAGCCATTGGCTGCTCTAGATTGAAAGACCTTAACTTTGGTCTTGAAATAACCCATATTTATCGATCTCCAGAGATTATTTAAATCATTTCAAAGTACCAAAGACAGCGCTGCACTCTTGTGATTTGAGGCATGCTGGAGGTGGATTTTTGACAAGGACAAGGAAGGTAAGATAGTCACAACAAATGCAGACCGTTTGTTGCCCACTTGAGCACAGGTGGTGCCACCTGCTGGACAGTTCTGCTGGACACTCTTCACTGGTGCCATTTGGGCATCTACTTAGACCAGTCTACACTCTGTAAAAGTATTTCTTAAAATCCTGGAACATGTCCCAGTGATCAAGCAAGTGTCAAAGTGCTCAGAGCAAGTGGGTTTTTATTGGGGAAGTTTTATTGTTGAGCGAAATGTAAAAGGAAGAAGCAAGAACTTAACCCAAGTATAAGGCTTCCCTCGACTGAGACGACAGGAGTGCTGTGACAGGAGCGCCATGACAGGAGCGCAATGACTGATGCACATTTCATCTGAACATTTGTGGAGCTGCAGATCAGAGGGAAAGAGCCCTGTGACACCAAGGTAACAGCTTAACAGCTAAAGTAACAGGCAACAGTACGTGTGAATGAGGCCAGCGATGATATCTGTTTTTTATAGATTTTAAAATGAATATAATAACTATAATCTTTTAAGATGAATATAATAACTATAATCTTTTCTGATTGAAACAGTCATGTTGTTGTGTTTATGTATGTTTAGATGATGAGGAATCACTGTGAGTGACAGTTACTTATTGAATGATTTTTAACATGTGACCTTTAGCGCATTTCTCCAGATGTTTTAATAGTGACTCCTAATCGAAGTTCAAAAAATGATTGTATCTGAGAATTTAAGCTAACTTCTTGCACTGTAAGTCAACTGTTATAACCTACATGAGGTGTGTCCATCCTCACCTGAGCATTTTCAAACAGGAGCTTTGCTGCTGCATCAAACTGAATTTTTATTTTTTAAGGCTACTGAAATGCTCAATTGTGTTAATCAAAAACCAAGGACTTTTAAAAGGACCTTGTTCTGCATTACACACCTCAATATTTTGGCAAAATTAAACCAATAAAAAGCTTTGTAATGTATAAGATATTTTTGTTAATTGAAGAATGTGACTTCCTGTGTTAAATTGTCCTCGTCATTTGCTTTAAATGGGAAGCTATTGCTACAGAGTTAGTTCTATATGCTCTGCTTTTTAAAACTTTTAACCTATTTGTAAAATCAACACTTTTCTTCAGTTCTTCAGATCATTTTTGTAGCTCTGATCTAGTTGATCTAAAGGTCATGTGCAGTGCAGGGATTGTAATGCAGCCTGAGTGGTGTCGTTTCAGTCATTTCTAAAGAAGAATGATTTGAAGCAGAGGAAGTCTTCACTAACAGTAACAACACTGATCACTGATCACTGAACGCTTTGAGCCACAATCATCTGATGCCTCACACAGGTGAGTGACTGTTCTCCAGCGCACTGGCTCAACCACAAAGACACCCATAGACGGTAATGCCACTTTTTCATTTGTCTACTACTGTTTACAGATATGCAGATATTACCCATAATACAATTAGACTTGAATAGTCGTGTGGATATATTATTCTAAGCAGAGATTAGAGAAGTAGAATGACGGGAGAGGGTGATCTATGGTTTTTGTGACTGTTGGGACTCTAGAAAGGGCCCAGTGTCTCCTGTGAAAGGCAGCCTGACACTGGTAGATTATCATTGTTTTTTATAGACAATATTTTATTTGTTATACTGCTCTGTTGAAAATCTACACTAAGAGGATCTCATTTTATTTTCAGTGTTCTCAAATGTGTGCAAAAGGAGATCTAGTTTGCTTAGAATTCATAGAATGTGATAGAAGGTCCAGGAACCAAAATCACCAGACTGGATTGGTTAAGAGCATCATCTTGACCAAGCCAAACTGGAGCAGGTTACTTTGAATTTGGCTGCTGTGATTGAGTCTGCTGATCCTGCTGAATAAGGAGCACACGTGTCTTGGGACTGGGGAGTGGATAATGAGTGAGGGAGCGAGGGAGGGAGGGAGGACAAAATGCACTTCTGTTGTGGAAAGGTTTTTTTTTAAAATTATGTAACATTTGAATCTTATCCTTTGACAAACGTTCCACATCTAAATTGTGACGTGTTGATATAGTTCAGATGTGTTGACTGATAATGGTGGTTATTCATGTCACAATATAATTTAGATTTTTTGCAAATCAGAAATTTAAGTGATATTTTTTATACCAAAAAGTTAAACAGTAACATTTAAAAACTTTACATTTAGGTTATGTCACATTAACAGCACTTATTCAGAAAGTTTGATTTCATCAGGTGAGGTAAGGATTTCTCTAATGTGATGGAATCTTGACTGAGGGCATTGTTGGTGAGTGTTTATTTAGATGGAGAAAGATTTTAGCATGATTCAGTTGTTGTCTACACTGATCATGTCACCTGTGGAGTCTGAAAGTTTTCCAACCTTAACTTGTATCTAAATGTTAGTGATAAATGAACTCTTCTAAGGTTTTGTGTAAGAAAAAATGGAGAAGTAAAAATAAATAGAAGTAAAATAAGATAGATGGAAAGGCTCATGGGTTGCTGCATCCTTGATGCAGATGTAACAAAGTGAATTTCCTGAAATCCTAAGGGAGAGGACCGAATCAGCACAGGCTCAGGCACGTGCTCACCTGGGGCAGTGATGGACGCTACTGAGGTATATGGCTGCACAATTTCTTACAATCCAGAATTACAAAATGAATCTTGCATGTTGCTAAAATTTGTTTAGTAGTTCATATTTTATCATTGTTTGGTATTTGCTCCTGGACTAGTTTAAAGTGTACACTGAACTCAGTCATGAGTTGAGATATGAAAACATTAGTAATATGTTTCAATTTATTTGAGCTAATTTTCAGACTAAAAAAATATGTTCTCAGACTGTTTCAACTTGCATCTCCACAAGATCAGGAATATGGCTCAGTAATATCATTTACCTTCTTAGAAGGAAGGACGCTCTTGTAACCAAGGAAGATTTGTACAGTTACATGGCTGGAAATGTACTCAATTACAAATACAAGTGCATCTGCCAAAATTTTGCTGAAGTATAAGTAATGAAGTACACATGAATAATACTACTTA